TGCTCTTAACTGGATTTTATAGAAGAATGGTGGGGAAAAAAGGTTATACTGTACAGTAGGATTACTCTTACGTTCTTCAATACACTTTCCAAAGCAGACTGACCTTGTGACAATCAGTGCATCTTGAAGGCACATAAATGAACAGATAGGACACTTTCCTTGCAGTGTACACTGGTGTTAGATATTCACCAGACTGTGTACGCTTCTTAACTCCACACAAAATTCTATTTGTAACAGTCATGGACCCTGAAGAATGGACTTTTGTAAATAGGTCTAAATGTTCATGTGTTTTCCATTTGTATTACTGTTCCCAGTATGAATGCGTGTCTGTAGTGAAGCGGATACAAAAGGACATGGCCTTGTGGTCCTGTGCATGGCTCTGAACTACTATAGGTGTTACCACAGCACCCTTGTGGGGTAAAGAGAGAATGGCAGTGAGTTTAAAGTATTTTACAATATTGAAGCTTATTGCTTTATATAGTTATTCTTTAAAGCCATATCCCAATGTGTGTCTGGTGCTCAGTACTCTGCCATTGGACTCTCTACATATGTACAGCTATATATATATGTGTACACTGGAGGATGATGAACATTTAAGAACAGGTATAGAAAAAGAAGGCTACAATGTTATAAAATTATTTTACATTTTACCCTTTTACTCTACAGAAAAGTTTTTTTAAAAGATACAGAACTCTAAGTATAAAAAGTAAATCAATTTCTTGTTCTGTATGTTCATGACATTTTCTCTTATATTTGTAATATGTCAACATAAAGAATAATGTTTGTGTAATACAGCAGATATTTTACAATGTTCATATTAATTAACTCCATCCAAGCACAAAGCAGCAGAAGCCATAATTGTCTTACAAATGCTCCTTCCACCTTTTTGCACATTGCCCTTATCAGTAGGAAATACCTAGTTTTTCACAATTAAATGGATGTATATACTGTATGTCAGAAGGCTGTTATCTTTGAGTTCACTGTATATATGCAAAAAGCTGAATGAATCATGATAGTTCTGTACTCTGTAGCACTATGAAAGAACATACAGTATGAATCTGAAGTGCTACTCTCAACTCCCACACACAAACATTGTAGTAAGCGAGCCCGTTTTGTACTACCAAGTCAGTGACATTTTATTATCCACATTTTATATCCAATAATTGTTGTTTCTATGAAAATTAATGTAAAATGAATTGCAAAAAATACTTACCAAATGATACTACAATACTGAGGAATAAAAAATTAAGAACTAAAACAACTACTACAACTTTATCATTTATATTTGAACTTATTGTACTTTACAACTGCTTATGTAAAGAAACTGCTTTAAATATTATATACTTATTATAAGGTGGAGCTAGTTTGGTAAATCAGGTGCTTTTAGATGTGGCAGCCATCTTGGTCTTAGTTGAGTTTTTGAAGAACTAATATACTATAACTGTCACGCCCTCTGCAGCCAGGGGGCGCTCCTTCTCTGTCCTGTCCCTAGTTTCCGGTCTGCTGTCCTTCTTGTTCCTCTCTTTCCCTTGGGCTATATATTTCCGGGTCTTGCACTCTGTCCTCGCTCAGCATTGAGGTTCGGATGTCCTGAGACCCGCCTAGCACCAGGGCGCCCCACGTCCGCTCCCTGAGGGCATAGGTTTCTATACGGCATTCCTGAACTCTTTGCACTAATGAGCCCGGGCCTTTTTCCCGTCTCGCCGCTACGCATATGGGTCTTTTTCCGCTCTCCTGCTCCCCACGGTTAGTCCCTTTGGACGTCCGTGACAATAACACAGGGCACTGATGATGCAAATTTATCTCCATATCTAAATCTATGATATTGAACATAGACATTCTAAGGCTCTTGGAAATGCAGACACACTATGTTAACTGCCTTTCAGACATGATGCTCAGGATGAGGGAGCTGTCTTTCAATTTTCGCACATATTTCTTCTAAAGACATTGCTAAAAGAAAGTAGATGTTATCCAGCTCTTTCGAAAGTTTTACATTTCACTGTAAGTGGTTGGCTTAATTACCTGAGAGAGGAGAAACGTAAGACATTCATGGACAAGATGGATCAACCATTAACTGAACAAGACTGTTTTCTGAAGGGATCTCATATCATTGTGCCAGGAGTCACAGAAGCATTACAGTCTAACCTCCAGGAATGCCATCTGGTCATTTCAAGGATGAAGGCATTAGCTTGTGAATGCCTGTACAGCCCCAGTATAAATTAGAAACGACACTGTGGACACTATCTGTAATCAACCCACAGTGTCAAGAAAAAGTTTGTTAAAGCCCTTAGTTGAATTGTGTTACAATGTTTTAGACCTAAAACATGAGATCATTGTGGAAGTCTTCCTAAAAGCTGAAGATACCCTGGTTAAACATATAACAGAATAATTTAATTTATAAAATGATCCAAAAGTAAATATCTTTGTATGAATCAGTATATTTGTGTGAACCCATATATTCAGTAATTGGTGACACCTCCTTGAGCAGCAATGCCTTCAGCTAGACATTTCCTGTAACTGTTTATCAATCCTTCATTTGGCTGTTAGGAATTATGAATCCTTCTTTCTTACAGAAAGTTCTGTGACACTTCAATGAGTTTTAGATCTGGACTTTGAATTCACCAGTAATTTCTTCAGCCATTCTTGTGAAGATCAGGTTGTATATTTAAGACAAATAGCCCCAAGTTGTTCATCACAACCGTTTAAAAGCCTATCTGACACCTATTTACCCACAAACAGGAAGTCTCCCTCCAACTGCACCGCTTCAACAGACAGAAAGGGTGCCACCCCATAGAGACAACCCACATGAACAGGTACTGTACCTATTGCCGCACTTGAGTTGTTTTCCAGCATCTTCTCTACTTTGAAGCAGCGCCCCCTTCCTACCAGACATACAATCAACGAAAAGTCCACTGTACAATCCACCCCACAGCCCAGTCTTCCAAGGGAATTAGATCACAGTTCAGCCCAGGGTAGCATCTCAAAAGGACAGTACCTCCTGGTCCCCTGAGAACTCTTGAGAAGTCATCATGACCACCTGGTTATGTTGCAGTGGTTTCATGTTGTTTAATGTCCTAGTATTTGTTAAATGAAGTTGTTTTTTTTACTTATGGGAATGTTACTTAAAAAAACATGGATGTTTCTTTCACAACAGTGGGTCTAATGTGAGACATATTTAACTTGAGTTAACAGATTTTGTTAAGCTGTGTTTTGTATTTTTTGTCCTCATTCAGGTTTGTTTTTACTGTGTTAATTTGTTCAGTATGAGAAAAGTTTTAGTTGTTCTCTGATCCAGAGGAAAGAACTCACCCATGCACTGCGTCTGTTATTTTCTTTTAGTCTTTTTCTTTGTTTTGTCCCAGATAAAGTTAGATAACTGACCAGCTTTGAAAGCTCTGTTTTCCTTTATAGGAATGCCCGCAACCTTAAACCCAGAATTGTACAAGATGGAAGAGTGTAGTAGTTAGATATACACCAGAACAAAATAATGTTCAGATCATGTGCTTCTGTTTTCTGTTTTTTTTTTCTTTTGCCATGTGGAATGTAAAAGCCAGGAAAATGTGATGAGAATAAAAAAAATTGTATCTGATGTAGTGAAAGGTGTGCGTTAAATGATATACACCCACATTAACTATTATAATGCGGTGCCAAGTGAGATTAGTAACACACTGTAGGTGTCTCCTTTTACAAGGTAGAAATTGTGGTCAAAAACCGACCCAGCTGGTGAAAGAGATTTGCAGCCTTATGTGTTTTGAAGATTAAGGTGATGAAAGGAATCAAAATTAAAGCAAATAGTGTATCCAGAATTAGATCTTTACATTATAGTTGCATTACTCTTGGTTATAATCAGAGCAACAGTATGGAAAGACAAAGGCACACCGACAAAAGTGAACAGAATAAAATGGTCAAAGGTAGCAGAAGAGACATGAAAATAAGACTCAAATGCCTGATAAAATGTATGACTGTATATTATAATTAACAAACAATGCTATTTATCTGTTGTTTTGTTAGTCTTCCAATAAAAAAAAAACTAAGTTCAATGATGTGTCTTTACAAATTCATGTTTAAAAAAAATACAAAATGCTGTTGTTTGGTATGATTTTATGCTTATGGAGTACTTTCTTTTATACAATCATAAATGAAGTGACAGGGCCCTTTGTTGCTATGACCCAAAACTTTGAAACACCATCCCAAAAGAAATCAGGAACTCGGCCAACCTGAGTGTTTATACCTTTGAACTTTTTTAGAAAGGCTTTATTTTCTGTGTTCACTTTGTTTTTATATGGAGTTTGTAATCTTCATTCTTATTATAATATGTGTTTCAAAGGACATGTACTGTATTGTAAACTACTTTATGTTGATTACTTATAATGGTGCTTTATAAAAATATTATTTTTAAATTTTTAAGTGTAACGTAAGCATTTTACATGTCACATGTTTATCCATGACAAAAAAGATTTGACTGATACAGATAACAAAATCAAAAATAAAGTCAATAGACATGAATCAGTTCCTTCATTTTAGTTTATTTTCCTTCTGGCTTCTTTTAATCCTTTTAACGTCCATGGCCTCTACAAATAAAGTGTCCAGTTCACCTTTGAATATCCTTCTTGGCTTATAAGAATAGTTTTTACATACCATTCTTTATTAATGTTACCCTGTAACATGCTGTAAAAACTGTATAGCAAGGGGAATTATGACAAACCATGGTAAAGTACATAAAAAATAGTACAGGCAAGGTATAATCACAGCTAAATTGCAATAAACAGTACTAATATTAGATAAGATTTAAGTACTAAGCCAATTTACCATGGTAAGCTTCCATAATGAATTAAAGGATTAACCTTCAAAAGGCAAAACAATAGTCTTTTTCTGTTTTATATAAGGCATTCCTGTACTGCACTGCAACAGTTTACTTAGCAAGATTATGACCTTTGAACAAATAAACAGTTATATTAAAAATTAACAGAATATCATGATCATATGAACATTCATTTGTTGAAAAAGTAATATTCCAAACCAAAGTACTTTAAATATAGTCAGTCTTATGATTAACTTCTGATTGAGATATCGATCACATTTTGATAACTGAATAACATAATACTTTGTTAAAGAACTGAACGTTTTTTTTTATTTAAAAACCATTGTTTTGTCGTTCTAAAACCACTTCTCACTGTTATTGGTGGGGACAATAATAATAAACGGTAAGAAAAACTTATTTTTATGGTTTAGTTTTTATGTATTAACGTTATTTTATCTAAATCAGAGAACTGTATCATGACATGCTTAGCTGATTAGACATTTTCTTCTAAGAACTAAATATTTCTTATGAACTAACTTCCTCGAAAAATGTTCTGCCATGGAGATTACTGTAAAAGGAACATTGTTTCCAGATGTTCTTGAATATTGTGTTACTCTGGCTACCTTAGTTTGTGCTACTTTTATAAATGACTATGAATAATTATCGAATATTTATTTTCAAAATGAATCTCTGTGTGAAAAAGTCATTTTTTTAAATTAACGTGTTTTCCCTAATTCCATTGAATTAACCCATTTTTGGTATTTTGTAAACCGTAACAGAACTGCCTTTAATGCTATACTCAAATGAGCAGGAAGCACAAGACTTACTAGTCTTTCAAAGCTCTTTTATGATCTAAGTTATTTAAAAGCCATTTTAAGTCAACAAAAGAACTTTGAAACACTGAAAATCAGAACTTGGTCTCAGCCAACATCATTAAGTTTTTTTGTGTGTTTGTGTTTTGACTGTGTTAACCTTAATTCATACTATATACTCTGTGTTTCTGTCTAAGTATTTTTATAAGTAGCTACAGTATTTTAAATCCTACCCACTTTTTCATGCAAATCACAGCCTCAAAAACATTGTCATAGCACAATACTGCTTTACTGCATCCCGCACCTAATAAAGTAGTTTATTATTTTTTTATTTTTGACAGCTGCTAGGGATGGAAAAAGCCAATCTAGCCTGCATTATGAAGTTTGTCCAGCAGCAAAGTATATTCTTCATTTTAATTTATTAAAACTAATAATTACTAATTATTAGTTTTAATAAACCGGAACTGGAGTTTTACAGTATACGCTTTTATATTGTGAAAGCTGTTGAAACAAAATAATCTTGCCTAAAATAACAATAAATAAATAAAAGAGAGAAACATCAAAGTGGGGTAAAATACTTAATATGGGAATATGACAGAGGTCTATATTAGGCTTGATGTGCTTCCAGGCTTTAATTCGATTAACATGACTTACGCACATTTCACTGACATTTTAAATTATGAGGTGATGATCAATGATTTCAAATAAAAAATATTTGCTCACTTCAGGATTAGCCTTCTCAGCATGGCTACCCACACGTACTGTGGTTGAAGTTTTACATCACTGACCTCACCACTGTATGACTTTCTAATCCACGGCATTAACAGTCTGCTCCATGACGTTTTCTGCACTGACCACACTATCAAATCAGGAGGTTAAAAAGAAAAGGTCACAACAACAACCATCATTTTTGATACCTATTAAATAATTTCATTTCATTTTCTAAAGAAATGTCATAGTCTGTTTGACTTTGCCTAGTGAACTCAGATTTTTTTTGCATGAGTTCAGAAGCCTTCTGCTAGATCTTCCCTCATTTATGCCAACTACCCTCCTTCCCAACGTTCTTGGATGATGATCGTCTCATGGACCCCTTGTTAGATAAGATAAGATAATCACTTTATTGGCCATATACAATTTCTTGCATTAGGAATTTGTGTTTTCACATTCCCCAACTTGCTCTCCATGAGACACACATACAGGGAGAGAGAAGCTTGGGGTCAGAGTGCATGGTCAGCCATTTATCCCGGTCACAGGCAGGCGTGTATGGAACAAAAAACTATCTCAAATCCCGTTTTGAAGAAAACATGTACTGTAAGAGATATTGTAAACATGTGGCTAAACGTTTTGTGGTCAGGCAAGAAAAAATCTGAACTTTTTGGTCTAAATTCAAAGCATTATATTTTATGCCAACCTATCACAGTGCATTCACTCTCTCAATACCATCCCAAATGTCAAGCATGGTGGTGGCAGCATTGTTATGTCCTGCTTCTCATTGGCAGGAATTGGTTAGCCTGTCAAGAATGATGGTCAGACAAGACAAAGTTGGAACTTTTTTACCTCAATGCAAAGCGTTGCATCTGTTGCAAACTCAGTGTCAGTTTTTTTTTTAGTTTTTTTTTTTAGTTTTGCTGCTAGTTGCAATATCTTACCATATAAGTTGAGATCCTGATTGGTTGTGGACCAACGATCCCTGAAAAAATCATAATATGTAAAGGAATAAGTTAAAGGTTTATTCCATGCTGAAAAGAGAAGAAAGAAAACACAACGTTTCGGCTGTGGAGCCTTTTTCGGGTGTGAGGATATGTACATATTATACATGTCATAATATGTACACAGAATTTGTAATCTCACTAAACAGTACACAGTAGGAATGGTCTGAATACTTTAGCAAGACACTGAAAGTAATTATCATCTGGCTTTTTTCCCTGTTAGCTTCACAAGACTGTGGATCAGTAACCAGTCACAATTAACCAAATATAACACAAATTCCTCTGGATATTGAGCTCCAGCTTAACGCTGTTTTTTTATGAAGCATTTATGTTCCCAGAAGTTTAGAATCCAAGGTAATTTTGACTTTTGGACATCAAGTTCTGGAGGTTAATTCTTGACCTACTGTTGATTCTATGTTAAAAGTTAAAAGTAATGACGTGCTTTGGTTGACATACCAGAAATGTCCACAACATTTTGATTTCATGGGAAGCGCATGACAGTTTTATAGTTCAAAGTTGTTCAAAATGTGGTTGCTTCCTGATCAGCTTTAAGCATGAACCAAAAAGTCTCATATTGCTCAAACATAAACTAAGGCATGGGTTGAGTACACAGTTATGCCTATCACTGTTAGAAAAACAATTTTCAGATGAATGTTTTGTGTGTGTAACGTTTAGAAATGAACAAGTGATTCTTTGTACTTAATTTATAATGCTTTAGTATGATATACATAAATCAACATATGGGTATTACTTAGTATAACACACAGTTCCTTTTATAAGTGTACTAAACAGAGCCATAATCACAATATTGTGTTGTGAAGCCTGGTCTAAATATGTACCGTAGGTGTTCTGTGTAACCAATTCACATTTTTAAGTCAGGAAGATTCAGTGCTTTGAATACTGAATAAAAGTGAACTAACATCTGGGACCCGGGAGTTTGAAAAATCTTCAGCACAATGAGTCATCTCAGCCTTTCATCCTCATCACCCTCATCATTCACCCTTATTCTTCACCAATTATGGTTGCCAAGGTCACTTTTCAGAAGGATCTTAACAATGAGTCTCCTTGCCCCACAATGCAGGATGAGTAAAACTTCTGTTGGCAATTGTCAGGTAAGCTCTCAATAACTTATCTTTGCCTAGGATTTAACCAACTGTCATTATCTGAATAGGTAATATGAGTTCTTTCTCTGCAGGCCTTGGTTAGTGTTCATGTGTTACACAGTATACTAGAGCAGCTAGTGTTGATGGCTCTAGAGGTACAAGTGGATCAACAGACTTTAGCAGACTACAAAGACTAAGTCTATCCATCTTACTGTCTGCTCTCTCTCAGTAGTGAGCCTTTGTCTTTATCTGTGAATGTTGGTTTACTGTGCCACATACAGGTACTTCCCTAGTGAGCTTGCATGCTGTGTTCATCTCCTCTGTAAGGGCCACTTCCTCTGCTTGTTTTGCCTTGTCTTCTAGTCATTCTTCTTGTCTTGCACTGTTTAACCTCTTTGTCTTTGATCTTGCATTCATGTTCTAATTGTTTTGCCAGCTTAGCTGGCTTTGTGCCCAGAAGTCTATCTTTCACTTTCCATCTTTTTTCAACTGCTTTCCAAGTGAAGGAAGTGAGCCAGTCTTTTGAATTCTTCTTATTACCCAGGATCTTTGTGCTGGCTATAGTATACGTTTCTTTGATGTTGTCCCATTTCTTCCCAGCTACATCTTTCTCTTCATCTGGGTGTACACCAACATAAAGTTGCTAGGAATAAAAGTTATGTTAAACTGAAACATAGACTCTAATTTTAATGAGAAATATTTCACTTCACTTTTTTGACTATAGTTTCAATAAAGTGGCTTGTGTTTGCACCTTTGTTCTTTTTATTAAACCTTTTTCATATTTAGCTGAGGCCTGTCTGAAAATAGATAGTAGGTTCTTGAAGAAAGCCTTACAGTTTGCTGCTCATCATGATAGGATCAATGGGGTGTACAAACATCCATGCTTCACAATAATCTGTATACTTCTCCCCATTTTCCATCATACTTTCCCAACGGTATTTTTCCATACATCTGATCATGATCTGCACTCCCTGCTTTGGCTTTTAAATTTCCATCCAGCCTGTGTAAGAAACCTAGCACTGTTAAAATCTCCAGACGGTATGTCATTGTACACAACCACTCCAATTAACACTTACTCTCCTAAAATGGTCTTCCTCTCTGCCTAAAACATATTAGGGTTGGAGTACTTCGTTTCAAACTAAATATAATGAAACGAATTAAACGGATTCTGAAGCTGAACAGAATGAAAAATTAAAGATTACAAAGAGTTAAAAGTGATAGATATCAGGTTGTTGCAGAAAGAAAAACAAAAAACAATTTGAGGAACTTTTTTATCATCATTTACTGTAGATTCTGACCTACAATTTTACTTAAGATATAAGCATAATTTCTTATCTCATAATGTTTTCAAGCAGCATTATTCTTTTTTTAAAAAAATCATCAGTAGTTTTCTGTAATCTAAACTGTTAGTTCAATGTTGTATAGCCACCAAGTAATCTGCTATCAATCATGTTTTGTAACAGAAGCTGCCCCCAACACACCCATCTAATATGCCAAACAGAGATTAATTGTAACCAGTGCTCGCTTAGCATTTGTTGTCTAGTATCCATCTTGAATTCCAGTCAGTGTGGCGAGACCTTTGGCTAACCTCAAACTTTTCAAAACACCTTGTCCTCACAGCCAGCCTGTCCTTCATCAATTTTTCAAGTTTGTCCAAAAATAATCTATGGAAAAGGTTAAGGTGTTTGCATCTTAAGGATAGTGCTAACTCTTAAAGCTACCTGCTTTTGTTAGCTGCATGTGTACTGAAACATTAAAGCAGACTTAGGAAAGCATAGTATTGTACAGTGTGTTTCCTAAGGAAATTCATGCTTTAAAACTTTTACAAAATTTGTTCTGTTTACATGGTCAGCTATGATGCAGTGTTTTATGGATAATGCATAATGTGTTCAGTAAAACTCTATTTTTATTTCTCTCATACATAAATAATACATGGCATCACACCAATATGTTTATTCCTGATAAGGGTCACAGCAACCCCAGCACTGAAGTACAGTATAAGGCAAAGTGAAAATGGTGAAAGTCCATTCTGGTGGTCACGCCCAAAGTTTACAGACACTAATTAACCTACATTATACAGCATGGTTCTAGAAGTGAAAGGAGCATGAAGAGAAAATCCTTAGATTTGATTTCATGTGGTTGGTTGTCCTGTAGTTTTACATCAACTAAATGTAATGAACTCAAATATGTTCTCATTATTGAATTCTAAAAATATGTTGAATTGTATTCAAATCTTTTAAAATGTCTTCATCATAATTAACTTTTATTTAGTGTCTTTAAAACTAACATTTCAAAGCACTTTACAGTAAAAAAAAAGCATTTATGCAAAACTATATTTTAAAAAAAGCTTTTGTGATGCTTTTAAATATTATTTTAGATTGCTGATTTACCATTACCTTATTTTACATTACATTACTACATTACATTTCTGCTTTAGAGTAATTACATTTTGGGGAAAATATTTAACTTTTACAAATACACCTTGTTCAATATACAGCATTCAGCATCTAAACGAGCATGTTTGAAACATAAACATGGAGAACAGTTTCCAAAGTCTTTCCACAGATTCTCAACGGAATTCAAGTCACTGGATTGACTGGGCCTCTCGAGGACGATCACTCTTTTTGTTAAGTCACTCCAGTGTAGCCTTGCCCTTGCACTTTGGATCATTGCCCTGGTAAAATATTTTTTTTCTCAGTTTTAAGTCTTTAGCAGGTTCTCCTCTAAGATTTGCAATAGTTTGCTCTGTCTGTGTTCCCATCAGTCTTGACAAGCTTCCCAATTTCAGTTGATGAGAAGCAGAACTATAACATACTGCCATCACCGTGCTAGATAATGGCAGATGGTTTTGTCTAAATTATACGCTATATTAGATCTTCCTAAGATGCAATACTTTGAATTTAGGTCAAAAGGCTCAAGTATTGTCCTGTTTGCAGTATCACTTAGTTACTTTGTTGCAAATTCCATGTGAGATATGAGATTTTTTTTTTCAGTTCCATCCAAGCCCATTTTATGAAGTGACCTGGAGCATTTAGCTGACCCATAGTCATTTTCTTCCATCTTGGCCACTGAACTCTGTAACTCAAAATCGCTGTGGGTTTCAACACTATATACTGTATACAGTATGGTCATTGTGCTCCTAACACAGCTGTGCAGTGTCTTGGTGCCTTCTGCTTCTTAATGATTTTCTTCATCAGGCTCACAGAGATACAGTATAAAGGGTCTTTGAAATGTTTTAATACCCTTCTTCTAATCTATGCCTTTATCCAACTTTATTTCTGACTTATTTTGAAAACTTGTTGGTCATCATCATTGAATCTTTGCTTGACATCCACTACATCCACTGATTGATGGAGCTTACAGAGATAGGAGGATTTATTCATGTGAACCTCTATTATTCCACACAAACAGGACCTACTTAACTAATTTTGTAGCTCATTAAGGTATTTTTGTGCACCTAAATTTAGGTTTTCCAAAACAAAGTTTGAATATTTTAAGGAATCATGCTTTTTTTTTCATTTTGGTTTCTATTATCCGTTTACTGTGTTTTGTTTTTTGCTTTGATTGGGTGGAGTAGGTTTCATTTATAACAAATATTAATTATTGATTCATATTTTTATTACATCAAACTTTAAAGCAACCAAATGTGAAAACTATGCAAAGGTGTGAATTCTTTTTGTCTAGCACTGTAGATATTTTTATATCCAGCACAGATATCACAGATTTCACTGTGACTATGTTGTCATCAGGAATTCAAACTTATTTTTAAATATAAATGTAAAATTTGATATTTTAACATGTATATGTATAATAAGACCAAAAACAAACTAAAACAAGTAACTCAAATCCAGTTTGAATTAATCACTTCAAAACAAAATGTACCTCATTAAAGACAATGGCAAAATAAGTATAAAATTGTATGAATGCAAGCTTTCTGCAGAATGTCTTTTCCACCAAAAAATCCATATACTGTATATGGTATATTAGAAGTTAAAAATGTATTGCTGTATTGGCTTTAAAATAAGTTCCTCTCCAATATTCAGTTGTTTCTATGGGAATCAAATAATTTTGCAGAACATTCCCTGTTTCTACAGTATATCCTTTCCTGAGGAAATCTGTACTCATTAAACCTCATTTAAATATTATTGCATTGGCTTTCACTGGATAAATACTATTATGCATTGGGTATTACCAAACACTTTGTATTTATCTTTGCTGAAGTAACCAATCCTGGCCCTACTTTGTATATTGTAACGCAACGGGGGCTCAGGCGGGCGCCCTTGCCGCATCTGGTCGGCCCCATCCCAACTGGAGGCTCGAACCCGGGACTCCCACGTCTCTCTGCAGCGACCCAGCCCCGTGAGCTAAAGAGAGATCTCTCTACAGCCCAGTAGCTGTAGTCCTGCTATCACAGGGAAGGGCGGTGACGTCATCTGCTCTGGTACGCCGGCTCTTACACAGTACCTGTCGGCCGTAAGCGTTACAATATTAAAGCAGGTGAGCCTCATTTCAAACGTTATCCTTCTGCATTTTATTTTTAATTTTAAAGCCATTAGGATACATCTTCCTAATATAGTAGATACATCTATTATAAAGTCAGTTTAAGGACACAATTTATAGAATATACAAAAAACTTTTTGTAAAAATATTTTTAGAGAAGTTTTCTAGTGTTATCTATTATAATAATAATAAACGTTATTTTATATAGCGCCTTTAAAGGTGGCTTCTCAAAGCACTTTACAGAATGAGAACAACAATAAATAAAAAGTATACACAAGATAAAACACAATTATAATATACAGAGGAGACCGTGGATAGTGGTACTAAGAAAAGCAGAAGAATGGAACCAGTTAAGTAAAAGCTCTTCTAAAGAAGAAAGTTTTGAGTCTGGATTTGAAGGCGTTTAGAGAATAAAAACTAAACATCTTTGTCTGTGAAAATATTTTAAATGAATTTTAAATCTAAACAATCTTTTGTGCTAAACTGAATGCTAAAATCAGTGCTAAGGGAATCCAGATTACATATATTACAACTTTAAACACTCATTATTGTTTTTAATTTGTAAGATCATTGCAATTTTTTTTCATAATTTTTGAAGATTGAATGAAAAAAGTTGACTCACACAAGGCCTTTGGATTGAATACTTTTTCTAAGTACTGGTTAGATTCCCTGAAAAATCTATCTCAAGGTTTCTTAAGAAATCACACTATGAACTATGGCAGAACAATTGTGTGGTTTCCCTAATGTCACGCATTCTTTTGTGTTTCAGCATCACTCCGGGCAGAAGATAAATACTGCAGGGGAGACACTTCTTGCTTGCATACTGTCGATCACATTGAAAATGATCAGAACTATACTTGAAATTGCCGTTGTGTTTGCCACAGCAAGCTTACTTTATTTCTTTGGTTATCTCACTCCAGCCTTTATCATGGTGCCTCTCGTGATCTTTCTTTTGGCTCAGGCCGAAAGCTATCAGTTTAATCCAGAAGGAAGAGCTGTGTTCATCACAGGTTGTGACAGCGGCTTTGGTTATCAGCTTGCTAAGCGATTAGACAAAATGGGATTTTTGGTATTCGCTGCCTGCCAGTTCCCTGAGAGAAAGGGAGCTTGCGATCTTGTGAATGAATGTTCCAGTCGTTTGAAAGTCATTAAATTAGATGTTACAAAAGACGAAGATGTGGCACAGGCCAAGAAATTCATTCAAACAAACTTGCCAGAGAAAGGTAAGGTATTCTTCCTTGACGTATAGGATAAATTAAATCCAAAAAAAGTGTTTATTAGAAAATAATCCTACATACTAAGCAAAATATTGTTTCTGCTGTTTTTTAAAAAAGATTTTCAAAATAGATTTCTCTTTGACCTCTGCAGCTTCATAAAGCACTCAATTACTTGATATGCTCAATAGTTTTGTCGCTTTTTGTAAAACACTAAAACTCTTACATAGAAATCACTTGAAAACAGACTGTATGATGGGTGGTTTTTATTGACTGTCAATTGTTCTAATTTGTAGGTCTTTGGGGAATAGTGAACAATGCTGGGATTTCTGACTGGTCTGAAACACAATGGAACAATATTGAACACTATCACAAAATGGCCGACGTAAACTTATTCGGAAGCATAAGGACCACTTTACCATTCATTTCCCTGATCCGAGCCTCACAAGGTATGGTAGATGGTTTTTTTTCAGGGGTAAATTGCATTCTCTCTGTTTTATGATGCATTATTATTATTAGTTTAGCACACACCTATATTTAGAAAAATCAGTGTATTCAATAATACATAAGGTAAATACAAAAATACTTTAATAATTACAAATACTATATAGTAGAATACATAGTAAAAATACACAACAGAAAAGTATTACTTAGCGTTTGAGAATTCCTTGGCAAATGACTTGTTTTAAATCAACGCGATGGGCATCACAGATATGAAACCATTATGATAAAATAAAAATGAAGTAGCTTAACAAAGCTCAGAAAGGACTTTAATTTTTGTTTTTACCAATGAATTGCATTTTAACTCTCTTATTAAAACAACATGGAAGCTTTCTTATTGGGAGACTTTAGTGTACTGATGCATCATGAAACAATACAAAACAAAGACCCTTTGATTATTTTGATTAACAATTTAATACACATAATACAGAAACTTTGTTCACGTTTGATTTAATTTGTTTCTTCCCATCCATCCTTTTTCTTACCACTTTATCATGTTCAGAATCACAGGGGAGCCACAGCCTATCCCAGCAAGCAACAGGCACAAGGCAGGATACCCTCTGGATGAGAAGCCAGTCCATTGTAGAGCACACATAAGCTCATACCAGGGCCAGTTTTCCCACAGACCAATTAACAGGCCAACTAACATATCAAGTGTTAAAACCTACCAATTAACCAAAGTGTGTCTTAGGACTGTGAGAGGAACCTGGAGCGTCTGGAGAAAACCCACACAAATACAGGAAAAACACATGAACCCCATGCAGATAGCACCCCAGGTCACAAATTGAACCAGGAACCCTGTGCTGTGAAGCAGCAATGCTAACCACTGCATCACAGTGCTGCTCTAATTTGTTTCTAATATGTTTCACACCAGTACTGTATATCTCTACTGTTAAATTTCAATGAGATACCGTCTTCTGTTCTACTAGAAATTCATTTTTATATGTATCAAAATAGTATAATCTTGAAAGCACTTTACAAAACAAATGTGGTTGCTGAGTAGTGTGTTGTTGTTTTTTCTGTTCCAGGCCGCATGGTGTTTGTATCCAGCATTTTGGCTTTTTTTTACGCTCCAAACATGGGTCCGTACAGTATCACTAAAAGAGCTGTAGAGGCTTTTGCTGACTGCTTAAGGGTTGAAATGGCCTGCTTTGGTGTAAAGGTAATTCAGGAAAAAATCTTCAACACACGTCTTGTTCAAAAAAGGAAGCAAATTTGCTGACAATAGCAGGCTTGATTTTTGTGAGCTTTGTTTAGAAAAATTCAACAAAATTCATAGCCAGCTCCGCACGAGGGTGAACATTTACGTGGTGAAATTGTACATATTGCATTTAAATATTGAATAATGAATGTAGGTGTGTGGATGTGCAAATAGAAATGTCTATTTTTCCATAGACGTACAGTAAGACCTGCTGTTTGCCAAGATCATATAATTGACTGCCAGACTTACAGTATATAAATCAACCTATAAAAAGGTTTGTATCGGGCCTAGATCCAAAATGCTTCACAATAATTGAGAAATTGCCATATGAGAGTTCTGGTACTGTGTTGCAGGCATCTCAAGTACTAGAATGCCACAGACTCTACACAATGAGCTGGACATGCCAAGTAGGGAGCTGCATCAGCATGCACAGGCTGTAAAAGAACAGGTAAAGATTTATTCCATGCTGAAAAGAAAAGAGACACAGTGTTTTGGCTGTGGAGCCTTCTTCAGGTAGCAACAGCTTCATCGAAGAAGGCTCCAAAGCTGAAACAGTGTGTCTTTTTTTTCCTTTCAGTAAGGAATACAGTTTTACCTGTTCCTGGATATTGTGATGGCTTGAAAGGGTCATAAATAAGGAAACACGTAATAGCTATCCAATTTGAGTTGGGCAGTATATTGTTTTATACCTAAAGTATTGGTGGAAACTTGGTTTATTATCCTAAAACAACAATAAAGCTGAAAAGAATATTAACTTAATAAATCCTACCACCCAATCTGAGGCATTGCTTTAGTACCTAGAAGAAAGGTTACCTGCTCTCTAATTAATGCAGTATCATTAGAGACCACCTGTCTGAGTACTAGCTAGAGCCAAAGTCTCACAGTGTCGTGAGAGTGGTTTCACATGACACATTTAGATATTCTAAGTTGGGGGGATTCCACATATGAAAAATATTTCTAAACTATTTATTTGCTTCATTTTATAGGTCAGTATCATCCAACCAGGCAACTTTGGATCAGTGACTAATATTCTGCAGGAAAAAATGGCTGAGGACATCTGGAATCGGTTTGATGAGGAGCAAAAACAGACATTTAACAGACAATATATTGAGCTGGTCACTGAATATGCTACAAAACTAAGAAGGGAAGGGATTCAAGACATTAATATGGTCATAGATGCTATGGTAGATGCTCTTACATCTCGTAGACCAAAAACTAGGTATTTGGTAGTAAACATGTTTGAAAAGGTTTTATTTTATGCCTTTCCTTACTGGCCTACGTTTCTTGCTGATGCTGTATTTTCTCTCGGTGACATGTACCAGAAAAGAAAACTGTTGCTCTTTTCCCCAGAAGGCAATTGAAGCTAGCTAGGTTCTCATTCATTGGCCAGACTATTCCAAGAAACACAAACCTGAGCTCATATTAAAATAGCATAGAAACTTAGTTGTAAGATAAGTCACTACCTGAATTTATAAATATATTTTATTCATTAAATCTTTTAAGGAATTAAGGGATGCTCTTAAAGTTACAAAAATAAGACAAACTTTCAAGTTTTTTAATAAATTTTCAGATTAACATGTTTCAAATGGCCTCTCTTACCCAAATAGTGTTAATTTGTATAATTTCATCAACTGAAGCAATACAAATGCTATGGTTGGATGTTCTAATTAGTTTATACAAAATAAAGTTTTTTTTCCTACTGTGGTGTGATGAAGATACTGCACAACCTGATAAACTACATAATTATCTTTTTACAAGATGGAACTGAGAAAACTTATATATTGTGCATCTCCCAGTTTCACAGTGACTTTAAGACAAAATAAATTAAAGAATTCCCCAAAGATAGTTTCCAAGTAGAATATGTATTTTACATGTTCTGAGAAAGCCTTAACTACAACATATATACAGAGCTACTCTGGTTGGCTACAATGGATGATACAGCAAGAAATACAACAGATACGGGATTGGGTACTGAATCATATCTCATACAATGTTAAGCCTCAATTATTTGCAATGGCAGAAATGAGAAGGTTCCATACAGTACATTTAAGCTAAGAAATACAGAACATATGCAAAAGGTCTATAGTAATATAGGCAGGGGTATCCCAGTGATCTGCACCTATAAAAACTACACTGTGTCAGCTGTAGGAAGGAGCTTTAGTACTCTTCCAAATCATTTAACTCCATGTCAGAATGCGAATTCTAGCCCTACACCTGTATTTACGGCCAGCAGCCATATCAGCCTGCAACTTACACGTGGAAACCCACTGAAGCTAAGCAGGTGTGAGCCTGGTCAGTACCTGGATGGGAGACCTCCTGGGAAAAACTAAGGTTGCTGCTGGAAGAGGTGTTAGTGGGGCCAGACCGCTCACCGTGCGGTCCATGTGGGTCCTAATGCCCCAGTATAGTGACGGGGATACTATACCGTAAACAGGCGCTGTCCTTCGGATGAGACGTAAAACTGAGGTCCTGACTCTCTGTGGTTATTAAAAATCTCAGGGTGTTTCTCGAAAAGAGTAAGGGTGTAACCCCAGTGTCCTAGCCAAAATTTCCCACTGCCCCTTACCAATCATGGCCTTCTAATAACCCCCCTCTATGAATTGGCTACATTACTCTGCTCTCCTCCCCAATGATAGCTGATGTATGGTGAGCATTCTGGCGCACTATGGCTGCCGTTGCATCATCCAGGTGGGGCTGCACATTGGTGGTGGTGGAGGGGAGTCCCCATTACCTGTAAAGTGCTTTGAGTGGAGTGTCCAGAAAAGCGCTATATAAGTGTAAGCAATTATTATTATTACACCAAATATATATCAATCACTGTACATGCAATTGACAGAGCTGTTTGGCGGCCTCTAGTGGCACTTTGGCTGCTACTACAGACTTTCATTGCCCGGCTTACCATTAACTATCTTAGTGTGTCATATACTGTAGCAGGTATTACGAAGTAAGAAAAGGCTGCTTTTCCATACGTTCTGAAGCACTGTTTATATTTCCATGAGACAGAGATGCAGTAGCTCTTCTTTTAAGAGATTATTTTAAATAAAATCTAGAAAGGCCAAATGTTTTCAGAATGTTCCTCACTCATGTCATAACTTCTTATGTTCATAGGTACTGTACAAGGTGCTTGGTTTCATTCATGTTTTCATTTCATATCACCTCTGAACTACTGTAGCTAACTGCTGTAGCTACTCACCCACTTCAGAAGTCCAGAGGATTCTGTTCAGGAGATAATGACCGCAGGGTGAGCCAAAGGACTGGAGCTCTCCAGGACCCCGACAGGCCACTTATTGAGTCCATGCAAAATCACTTTTTCTCACAAGAATTAAATAAATTGAAAACATTTGCATATGATACATGTGAAATTAAATACAAATAAGTTATGCATATGCACAAATACCACTCTGCTTCTGTCTCTTCTGTCATCCCATTGGTGGTGGTGGTGGGGATCCCCATAACCTGTAAAGCACTTCTGGAGTATCCAGAACAGCGCTATATAAGTGTAAGCAATTATTATTATTCATAATTATAATTAATATTATTAATAATAATTAATAACATTATTGTTATTATTATTATTATTATTATTATTATTATTATTATCATCATCATCATCCCAGTCTCCCCTTCTTTCCCAATTTTTCCCACTCCTGCTTTCTGTTTCTCCTTCTGTAACAGCGGGCTCTCGGTCTCTGCAACCGGCCACTAGGTGTCGCCACATCGTCATGAAACGTATATGGACCCGTTTCTGAAAGAGCTGTGCCTAAATTTTAAACTGTTTGGGTGAGCCTCCTTTAGGATTCGCCTCCCAGGATTATATAATAAAAGGAAATTCGATGTAATATGATACCACCGTATATTTCTTTAATAAATTATATGTGTGTGTAATCATCTTCTCTCATTTCCTTAACTTTTTTTAGTTTATTTTTACATAATCTATTTAATCCATTAATGACATTTTATTTTATTCCAAAATGTATTCTATTCATTATATTTCTAAATGTGTTCATGTGGGTTAAGCATCGCATAGAAAAGGAACCTACTTTCACCTTATTACTTTTATTATTATTAAATGTATAATTTGTCCGCCACCCTGAACTGGATGAAGCCGTTAAGAAAATGGGTGGGTAATTAGTAATATAGTCACAATTTTTAATCTTACCCTACAGTTACAATCGTAAACATGATTGGCGTAAATCAGTTGTCAGGTTATACGAAAACATACTGCGTGATCTTGAATTTAAGGAGTATTTGTACACCAATGTAAAGCGCAACGCTACATTTGCTCAATTCATTCGTGGCACTTTCCACGTTTTTAACATATAACCGCTATAGAGTATAATATATTAAATAATATAACATAATACACATAATATAAACTAATCTTTTATTTAAAATATTAGAGCCCTTAGAAACATAGCAAAAAAAGGACCGCAAGCTGTGTGTAGAACGTGCGATTCTGAATCACAAGACCGTGGCGTGTGTGTGTGGTTGTCTAGGTGAAACATGTCTGCCGCCGAGGAGGATACTGAGCTTCGAGACCTGCTCATCCAAAACTTGGAAAACAGTGGAGTTTTGAATAAAATCAAGGTAAGGGAATGGGGGCGAGTGTGTCACGCTTTCATATGTTGATTGTTTAATCAACAGTCTTTTTAATTACTGTCCTTTTACAATTGTGCACAATTGTTTGTTGGTTTTTATTAACAAGGCCACTTCCTGTTCCCGAGTTTTTTTTACCTGCATCTGTTTAAAACGGCAGTGTTGATACTTGATGGTGGCGAGTATAAGGTTCACATTTTATGCGATTAAAACATTGGTAGTTTATTGGTAACAGCAGCTTTCTTTTTTTTTTGCGAATTTCGACCTGTAGCTGTATAACTGTTAAGACAATCGGATAGAAGTAAACCAAACTACTTAGTTTATGACTTCGACTTGATAATACGTTAAGAATACACCATGAATGTGATTTGTGTTGCACTATTAATTGGAGTGGTATCAGTAGCTTAAAAACACTTCTCGAGATAGTTGCCAATAATTTACTCCGAAATTGAAGGTGTTCCCCGTGAATATGCGAATTTTGTTTCTGCGGTCAGATACTCATATTCAAGTGATTCAAGGTAAAAAGGTCTTAACGTCATACGTAATGTGATACATATGTGATGTGAACGTTAGGGATGCAGCTAGCAGTTAACCTGTATTCCTGATCACATTGTTTACGGTGCAGTCCGTATTTGGACAGTGACACAATTTTGGTTGTTTTGGCTCTGTACTCCAGCACGTTGGATTTGAAATGAAAAAATGACTGTAAGGTTAAAGTGCAGAATGGCAGCTTTAATTCGAGGGTATTTACATCTAAATTGTGTGAACCATATAGGAACCACAGCCTTTTTTAACATAGTCCCCCCGTTTCAGGGGACCAAAAGTAATTGAACGCATCAACACAGTCTTAAATAAAATAGTCATGTTTAGTACTTGGTTGCAGATCTTTTGCAGTCGACGATTGCCTGAAGACTGCGACCCATAGACATCACCAGATGCTGGGTATCTTCCCTGCTGATGCTCTGCCAGGCCTTGCATACTAGAAATTGTGTAATGCAGCTGCTTGTTTGGGGGGCTTTTTGCCTTCAGTCTTGTCTTCAGTAAGTGAAATGCTCAGTAGGATTCAGGTTGGGTGATTGACTTGGCCAGCAAAGAACATTCCACTAAAAAACTCCTTAGCTGGTTTAGCAGTATGTTTGGGGTCATTGTCCTGCTGCGAGGTGAAGTGCCATACAATGAGTTTTGAGGCATTTGGTTGGACCTGGACGGATAAGAGGCTTCTGTACACTTCAGAATTCATCCATCTGCAGTCACATCATCAATAAAGACAAGTGAGCCAATTCCACTAGCGGTCATACAGGCCCGAGCCATGACACTACCTCCACCATGTTTCACAGATGAGGTGGTATGCTTTGAATCATGAGCAGTTCCTTTTTTTCTCTCCACACTTTCCCCTCTCCATCACTCTGGTACAGGTTAATCTTCGTCTCATCGGTCCATAAGACTTTGTCCCAGAACTCTCCAGGCTTTGTTATGTACTTTTTAGCAAACTGTAGCCTGGTGTTTCTGTTCTTGAGGCTTACCAGTGGTTTGCATCTTGTGGTGAACCCTCTGAGGTTATGCTGGTGTATTCTTCACTTTTTGGTGGTCTTTGACACATCTATGCCTACATCCTGGAGAGTGTTCCTGACCTGTTCAACAGTCGAAAAGGGGTTTTTCTTCACGATTGAAAGTATTCTTCGGTCATCCACCACTGTGGTCTACCAGGCCGTTTGGTATTGCTAAGATCACCATTGCATTTGTGCTTCTAAACAATGTACCAAACAGTTGATTTTGACACATACCTAATAGTTTGTCTATGTCTCTGATTGATTTATTTTAATTTTTTAGCCTCATAATGACCCCTTTACTGGCATTGACACTTCTTTGGTCCTCATGTTGAGAGACAACAGCAACAGACTCCAGATGCAAATGCCACATCTACAATCAACTCTAGATCTTTTGTTAGCTCTCTTGTGCATGAACTAACGAAGCAGTGATGCACAGCTGGCCAAGAAACAACCGATCAGCCAATTGTCCAATTACTTTTGGTCCTCTGTATGTATAAAATAGGCTGTGATTCCTATATGGTTCATCCAATAAAGATCTAAATACCCATGAATTAAAGCTGACATTCTGCACTTTAACGTCCTAGTCAATGTTTCATTTTTAAATCCAATTTGCTAGTGTACAGAGCCAAAACAACAAAAATTATCACTGTCCAAATACTTACAGACTGCAATGTATACATACTTATTGCAAAGACATTAGGATCATATACACTAGATCTGACAATATCAAATAATATGAATAATTTTTATTTTTTTTCCAAATGCAAATTGTCAGACTGCCAAATGACATAATTATGTATTTAATTATTGTTTAGATCATTGATGTGACAGCTAGAAAATCATTGACAGTTTAGTGCTGAAGGTATTCTGTTTTCATTCAAAATTGAATTTCATTGTTCCCTAATGCACTGCATACTAGAAATTGTGTTTGTTATTTTATAGGCTGAACTACGGGCTGCTGTGTTTCTTGCTTTGGAGGAACAAGAGAAAATAGAAGTAAGCTTTTTTCTATTACATATTTTCTATCAAATAATGTAAAATCATTTGTCACATTTCAGCAGCTTTTTATATTAAATGTGTTGGATCTCTGTAATATAATGGTCAGTGTCCTGTAGCTTAACTATTTACTGCAATTCTTTTTATACATAAATAATATTATACATACTCTCTAATTGCTCATTTTCTTGAATATTTTCTTTTGCAGAGCAGAACACCTTTGGTCAATGAAAGCTTAAAAAAGTTTTTGAATACCAAAGATGGTAAGTTATTATACGGTCTCTTTCCTGGCCTAGAAGATACCTTGAAATGCTAGAAGGGTGGAAAGATGTCGTGTGTTTTTCCTGTCATTCTAGTTTTCTGGTGTAATTCTCACACAAACAACACAAGATTTATCCCATTTCTTAGGAAAGTGTCGTGCACATGCTTAACCACCTGGCAAATGAAAGGTTGAATAAACTTGCATATTTGCCTGTAATTACGTTTCAGTACATAAAGAATTTGTATCAGACTGGAAAGTAAACTTGTAAGCGATTTAGCAAGCCAACTTGACATTAACAGGAAGGAATGTAATGTAAGTGGTTTCTTCAACTGTGTTTGGCTATCATTTAGTGTATTGTTTATTCAAGACTGGTGAATATTTCAGATCTGACAAATTAATGTTAATGTCAAAGTGGCATTTGACCGAAGGAAGCATGCATTCATTCTGTATAAGATAGTAACTGAAGCATTATCAGCCTATGCTATTTGTAGAATACACTAAAATCTTATGAACTAATGATGTCACACCTTGTTTTTGTCTTGAATTATTTATTTTAATTTGATGGCATGTACTTTTTTGCTCTTCTTCCCTCTCAGGGCGCTTGGTGGTCAGCCTCATCATGGATTTTCTGCAGGTTTTTAACTTAGATTTTACATTGGCTGTTTTTCAACCGGAGATAAACACAGTGAGTGTTTATTGATGTCATATGGAATGTTTAAAGTTTTAAAGATTTTTTGAAGAGTTTGAAATTAGAAATATCTTTGCTGTTATATATTTAACTTTCAAAGTCTTAATACTTTAATACTGTAACATTACTAGAGCTGGTCCCGATTCTCTGATTGGGTTCGGCAATAGCATAGAAACTTCTGGAGCTGTTCTTTTATGTTTCCACTCAGATTTTGTCATGTTTTTGAACTATGCATACTACTTGAGTGGGAGTGATTGCCGCCTTTGTGAAGTTTACATTTTTTCTCTGTGCTTGCGTGAGGGTGTCCCACTTCCCAAATAATGCTGGCTAGATTAGTTATTATTATTATTATTATTATTATTATTATTATTATTATTATTATTATTATTATTATTTTGATGGTAGAAGGGTAGTAGTAGAGGAAGGTATGCCAGCAGGTGGCAGCATAGCACATGAATTGGATCATTTAATTGAAAAGCCCCACAGTCCGTTCTGTTTTCCTTTAAAACCCTTTCCACCCTTTCATATCTTAAAGGTTAAAATGTAAAACTGTGTTCTAAAGTCTATAGCTGCTTCTGTTTTTTTCAGCAATGTGGTATGGACCTTTTGTGTTTGCTTTTGTGCAGCTAAATGGGTTAGAGAACCGAGAGGCTGTGGCCAAGGAGCTGGGCATTACAGAGCCCGAGGGAAACAAGGTTACACCGCTGTTGTTGGAGGTAATAAGGAGAGGCCGCCACAAGGAGAAAATCGGCTTTGCAGAGGTAAGTCCTGCACTGCGGATCTTCCTGGGAACACTGGGAGCACATTGCTGTCAGTGGTCTCTGGAGCTTGGTGGTCTGAAAGGTAGCTTGACAAATATAGTGCCCTCAAAAAGTATTGAGACATTTAAAATAAAGTAAATTGGATTTGTGGTCATGGGAGTAATGTGAATAATAAGCACAGTATAATGGACAATTTATTTAGAAATTCATGAATTTTTTATTATATTGTGTTGGGGAAAAACATACTCTGTGTTCCATCCAGTCACTAGAAGTGCCTATATGTATTTGGTCACTAACTTCAAGTCAATTTCAGAGTGTAAATGTCAGTATTTTGTTGCATATCCAAAGTTCTTGATTTTTGTAATCAATTGAACTCACCAGCACAATTCTTCATGAAGAAATGCTATAAGACTTTCCATTTTTTACTTCCTGGTTGCATTGGTCATGTGCTTTGAGTCAGCCAGCAGTCATATCACCCCGCAACTCACAACTGGCAACCCACTGAAGCTCAGCAGGTGTGAGCCTGGTCAGTACCTGGATGGGAGACCTCCTGGGAAAAACTAAGGTTGCTGCTGGAAGAGGTGTTAGTGGGGCCAGCAGGGGACGCTCACCCCGCGGTCCGCATGGGTCCTAATGCCCCAGTATAGTGACTGGGACACCACACTGTAAACAGGCGCCGTCCTTCGGATGAGATGTAAAACCGATCCTGACTCTCTGTGGTCATTAAAAATCCCAGGGTGTTTCTCAAAAAGAGTAGGGGTGTAACCCCAGCGTCCTGGCCAAATTTCCCATTGGCCTTACCAATCATGTCCTCCTAGTAATCCCCATCTATGAATTGGCTACATTACTCTGCTCTCCTCCCCACTGATAGCTAATGTGTGGTGAGAGTTCTGGCGCACTATGGCTGCCGTCGCATCATCCAGGTGGATGCTGCACATTGGTGGTGGTGGAGGGGAGTCCCCATTACATGTAAAAGCGCTTTGAGTGGAATGTCTAGAAAAGCGCTATATAAGTGTAATAATATTAATTAATTATTATTATTATTATTATCCTGCTGCGTATTGGAGCACTGCTCATTTTGTCTGCATATGATAAAAAATATACATTGCATAAATGATGTTCTAGTTTCTAGTTGGAATATAGTATATGATTGTTGAATTAACAATTCATTACATTGCTGTACTGAAATGTGATTTTCTTTAAGATGGAAATTTTTTAGTCATTCTGCATATATCTGTTCTGAAAATATACAGTATATTGCGCAATGATGCTGATGAAAGCACCTAATCTGTCAGTGGTTTATGAGAGTTATCTGTGCTGCATCAATTTTCCTGTAATCTTCTCACATGCACTTCAAAGTGTGGGACTTTCTAATGTAATTATTTGCAACAGATAAAGAAAGTCTACTATTCTAGATTAATGCTGAGTGCTTTTTTAACACTGTTTGGGTTTTATATTCTTCTCATTACAAACTGTGAGCCCTCACTTCTTTAAATGTTATAAAGTGTTACTATAGAGACCATAAATTAAATGTCCATTAATCTAGGATTTTGTGTTTTGTTGATCACCAAAATAAATGCCAACATGAGAAAAGCCCTGTTCATATTTTGTGTTTTAGTGCCTTCCTTCCTATCTAATCATCTCTGTGAATGCCTTTATCTTGGTTTCTCTGGTTTATAATTTATACATTTCAATGTGTTGTTATCAAAAGGTCTCAAAATACTGTGGCTACATTTACAACAGTGATTCAAGCTGAGAGCAGGTATAGTTGTAGGAATTTTAAATGTAGATTACCCATGCTTTGGGCAAAAAACAAGTTCTCAGTCTATTTTCATGAGTTAAATTTAGTTACTACACAAATCATCAAATCGCAAACTGTGTCAGACAGCACTACATTAGAAATATATCATTTAATGTGCAAAGATATTAAATTAACGCAGTGAAGTTCTTTCATATGAGTCACATATGCAGTTAAGTCTCTTAATTTTGTGCTTAAATTTTTTTCAAAGCATGATTAATACTTATGATAAAAATGATTCTTTTTATTATCATTCAGACAACAATATCAGAAGTATTAAACAGTAACTCTAGATATAAACAAAACTAAGATATAATATTAGTATACAGTGTACATCATATAATCTTTAGGAATGCCAGTTTAAACAAGAATGATTTTGGCAAGATTTAAAAACAAGAATTCCTGGTTTTATACAAAAGAATGTTCCTTGGTGCCTAGAGGGAGAAGTCACCTGCTGTTTGTACTCTCATTCATTTACTTATACTCTTTGATGACCTTCAAAGTCAAAATGTCAGGCGGACCATTGAGCAAGGTGATGTTTTAGCCACAGTATCTACACTAGATCTGATGATATCAGCATATGAAGACGTCTGGTTGATGGTGTTAGTGGATTGCATGTAATGTAACAGGTGGCAGTTGTAAAAATAAATAATATACTTTGACACAAGGTATTTGTTTATTTCTAACTTTTAAAAAAATCTTGTTTTCTTCACTGTGATTTTGCTCTACTTTTAATGTGTACCTTTCTGCTTCAGGGGGATCGGGCTCTTCATATTCCTAAGGTACTGCATCTCTCTTTGATTTTTTTTTTCCATTCATCCTTTCTCTGCCAGATCACTTATCGCTTTGTCCTCTGTCCTCTGCAGACAGATGTAAAATTACATTTGGCAGTCTAGAGATGGTGATTGCAAGGACAGAAGTACAAAGGATAATTGGAAAGGAAAAGACCTAAATGCATGTGTTTATCTTTCAAATAGTCAAAAAAAACTTGCACTGTCTTTAGTTGAATTGGCACTGTCCTTCATATTCTTTAAAATTGTTCCTTGCTATGCTAAAAGTTCATCATGACATTTCCCCCCAGAGGTATCTCTTCATTTTGGGCTGTTACTTCATTTAACTTAAAAATTTAGAGGTGTTTCACTTGTAGAAAAAAAATGATTTGTCTTCCTGTTGATCAGAAAGTTTCAGCAAAACTGGGTTATGTCCTACTTATTATAGTTGAAGTGGCATTTTTTTAATTTCCACTATGTTCTTCTTAAGTGTTTCAGTAGTTTTACTTTAATCACTGGAAAAATATTTAATGTATAAAAAGTAAACTGTTACAGATACATACAAGTATAAAGGAGTACTATTTTAGCAAAAAGGAAAAACTAGCATTCTCATGGGTTACATTTTTTAAAAGCTGCACACATCCTTTCTGCTTAGAATAGTTCTTTAGGGTTTGAGTTTCAGTTTTTTCTTCCTTCATATCTGTAAAAGCACTTTTAGTGCTTTGTGTTTTTAAATACACTTCAAATAATACATTATTAAATAATATATAACACCTTTAGGATTTAGAATTTTGGATTTTAATGTTTTTATATATATGTTAGTATACCACCATATTCTTTTATGTTCACCTTTAAAATGAACCTATATTTTGTACCCCAGGAACTATCACCTAAACAGATTGCTGACGCTAGGAAAAACTTTGACCATTATGACAAGGTAATAAATTGTTATAGTTTTATAAACAAGTTTATGTAAATGTTTTCAGTACTTTTCTATTTCTAATGTAAATTAACATTTGCATTACAGGGTTAGCACATTTTTTAAATCTTCAAATTTTGAAGTTTAAACATTCATAATTTAACTTACAGGTATTGAAACTGCTGTATTTGTGTGGAGTATTTGATGTTCTCTCTTTTTATCTTTTCTGCTTTGAAAGTTTCACATTTAATCATTCAAGTTTAGTTTAGTTATGATCCTGCTAGGCTCTTGAAGTATTAATTGAATAACTTTTTTTTGTACAGATATTATTATTATTATTATTAAATGATTAATATTACAAATTGCTATACCTTTCTTTTCTGCTTTGATGTTATCACAGAAACTACAGTTGTTTTTGAAAGCACGCAAACAGTACAGTGTCCATTGAGCAATTACTTTTCTTATTCTTAGCTGTATTAGCATGGACTTCGAATAAGTTTATTTTGGCTGCAAACATATTAGCCTTTTACAATTCAAATATATACTTTTTTTAGGACAAAAATGGTGAGATAAGCAAAGATGAATTGAGAACTGTCTTCACTGATCTTTTTCCTAACTTTCACAAGTAAGTTTAACTTTTTTTAAAACAGAATTTAGAATTATAGTCATAATTTTATTTCTTGTGTTGAAATAGTTAATAACATTAGCTGTTGGACAATACAAAATTAATTACTGTATGCAAAACACAAACACCTTTTTCTTAGCTTATTTTGAATCTTACATTAAAATTTCTGGAATTTTAAGTAAATGTGAAAAACTAAAAGTTACAATAAAAAAGAACTGTCTGAGGTAAAAAGACATGCTGCAGTGTTATGTAAACTTATAAACCCATTTATTAACAGCTGCTTGCAGAAATGTTCAGATGAGATTTGTAAATGGACATGCTGCTTCTTTATGAATCTTCCCACATACTTAAATATTGCAGATTCTGAAGATGCAATTGTCCTTTTATATTACAATGCATTCCTGTATCTTTTTTAGTTTCGATTTTTAGTTTAGACATAGAATAATGTCTGACTGTAAAGTCTAATTCTCTCCCTTCTTTCGGTGTTTATTCAAATGCTTTAATAGTACAAATTGAAAACTTAGGTATTCGAATGTAAAATGAAGTATTACAGCTGTAATTTATTTTTGTAGGTCTTTTAGTTAATGAAGATAAAGATATGTAGTGAACATTTTCATAATTAAAATGTTGACATTTTTAGGGTAGATTTTGAAAAAATATTTAACATTACTAATTGTTTAAGATAATTTTGCACAATTTTAATGTTTAGAATCAGAAATATATTTTTCACAATTATATTCTTTTCACAATCCATATTAAGATGCCAGATTTTCTCAAACTGTTGCTGTTGCACTTTTTCTTAGCTTATTACTTTAGTCTGAACTCCATAAAACAGATTAAGAAGAAAACCCTTAATGTTTCAGTAATGTCCTCATTTAAACCTAATATTAGACATGCAAAATATTACTATCAGGACAGGCTTCTTAGACCACTTGTGTACTTGCTGTACAAGTATAGGATGGGTGACACTTGCTGTCTGCACCACAAGGCAGTGGTTGTAAATTGAAAGTAGACATTTTTTTTTCAATTTAAAAAGGCATCTGATGAGTGGTATGAAAAAAGTACTTGCAAATTATTTAGGTGTTATTTGAGCAAACTGAGAAAATTCATAATTATCTTATATGACTACAGCTTTTATCTTTTTTTTTAATTAAAGGAATATGCTGGAGAGATACCTTACAGATGAGTTCAGAGCTATGGACAAAGACTTCAGTAATTGTAAGTATAATCTGGCTAATTAGTTTTTCAGTTTTATGGATAAGGTTCATATTCACTGAATCATCATTGATAAAGATATGCTGGAAAACACTCAAGCTATAGAACTTTTAAATACCTTTTTGTTAGTTACCTGAATTAGCTGTTTGGAAAAAGAAGAGAAAATATATTAAGAAGTTTGCCTTGCATAAAGACTAATTGGGAAATTGGAAAACCTCTATAAAGAAAATGTAAAAATGTCTATGCGTGTTAGTTGATTATTAACCAGTGGTATTGTAATCACTTTCATTTTCAACCTGCCAGCACAAATACTCAAGGTCCAAACCTCCGTTATCATGCTGCACGTAGTTAAAACATTAATTTCTGATATTTAAGAATGTTCAGAAAAGGGATTTTTTCCTTTTGTACTACTTGTTTAACTCGTATAACATATTTAGTATTGCTATTGCTGCTAATACTATATATGCTATTATAATTTGTGAATAATAAAGTTGCTTATCTTGAGCTCTGAAGTTAAATAAACTTTATTCTGTATCAGTCTATGGTTTATAAAACAGAATTGGTATGTCCTTTTTCTACAGTTGAAATGTAATTATCTTAATATTTATTCTAATATTGGCTTTTCTTTATTTTGGAAATGCTGCAGCAATAGACTTCCATGAGTTTCTGGGGATGTACAAGCGTTTATTCATACAGTGTAGAAGTGTGGTAAGTGTCTCTTTGAACATAAAGATTAACATTAAGATTGGGAGCTCTTTCTGTTTGAGATGAAATTTTGCACGTTTCAGTAATATAACAAAATGCACGTTTTAACACTTGTCCCCAAAAGCATTCTAATGGTTGCATGACATGGGTAAAAAGTGATGAGCAATGTTTGAGTCTCACTTTCAAGCAATGTATGCATTGCAAACTTATAATTCTGTTCACGTTGTGTGCCTCTTCCTCTTTATTTCCTGAATTTGTAGTTAAACTACAGCTTGAGCCATTATAGTGTCTCCTAATGTGTGCTGTCGTACTCTTTGTTGTATATCTAATTTTTTGGGCAAACACTGTTTTATTTAAATGGTCCAAAACAAGCTTTATTGTTTTTGATGTTCTACAGTTTTCGGACAAGTCATCTTGCCAGTTTGCAAGCATATTCAGTCATATATATATATAAATTGTATTAGTGTTATTAATGTGCAGAAGAAGAAGGCTGTGACTCTGAAATTGCACAACTCATAAGGCGAGTGTGCATGCCGTTTTAAAGGGATTTCCAGCTATTCTCCCCTTTACACATTTTAATACGTCAGATATCAACTGAAACAAGACACTTGCTAAAAACTTTGTAATTTTATCATTATGCTTGGTAACTGGGGGACAAGAGTGTCTTTTGAATCATAAAACATGATGGCACATTTTTGTAGAATATTTCTAAAACTTATTCTAATATGGTGATTTATTTTATATGTGCTGCGTGGATTTAACGTAATAATTTAATATCCAGAGGAATTCAGTATATGCAGCAACACCATGCAAGTAAAAGTGAAAGCAATTATCAATCAGATTTACTTGAAATGATCGATTTTCTAACTTTAAGTGTATGATCCAGATTAGCACACCATGCTTTTCTTATTGCTAGTGACAGGTACTGAAATAAATGTGCATATTTATCAGGCATAAAAGACAAGGCAGTGAGTCACATCTTGTACTTAGATCATCAGGAGGCACTTCCCAGATGTGCAAGTGATGTGCAAAAAATGTAAATATGCCTAAAGGGAGAATATTCCAGATTTCCTTTAAAGCAGCTTGTACCTCACCTTAGCATCCACTGTGACCTTTGATTTGTTGAGTGATGTCAGTTGTCAGATGTGAGTGACATCTGACACATCTACATTCTAGACGTAACCATAGCGAGAGCTAACGCACGCAAAACAATTGCATATTGCAAAGTCAGTGCCTAATTGTGGCTTTTAGTTGAGTATGGAAGAATATTAATGCAAACGAAAAATCACCCAACAAGTGATGCGTTGAGAATTTCTGTTTTCAGTTGGGTTAAAATTTCAGATTAGCCCAGGCCTTACTTAATTGCCTAATTTTCTTTAAATGATTTTAGACTCCATGAAAATGAGGCATTTTGTTTTCATTTTTCATTTTAGTTTAGGTGTTATACTGTTCAACTTACATTCACTTATTGCCTTTTTTTGAATGATTTTGCAATTCCATCATTGCCAAATGGGTTTGCCATGCATTATAAATACATATAAAGGCTTTGCTTATCTGGGCAATCATAAAACATCACTATTAAAATGTAATTGTGGAGACTGACTATTTGATCTTTTTTCAACAAGGTTGCAAATGATGTCTCTGACATTGTTCACTTGCCTGGTAAGTCTACTGAGGAGAAAAGAAGTACTACTTCTCAGCCAGCCAGCAAGGTAGGATCTACAATTGCCTTTTAATTTTTTCATTATGAAGTGTTTTAGGACTTCTTTCTGTTCTGATAAATATTAAATTTTTTTATGTTACTTACACTTACACCATTTCAGTCTTAAATTTTAGCACTGCTTTTTTAACACATTTATATTCAGTGAAATACACTGTTTTGTAGAGTCAGTTATATAAATGCAGTCTTTATCAGAGGATGTTAGAGGCCTTCGTTTGAGACAATACTGGCCTTGATTTACAAATTGTTCTTAAAACTCTTAAGAAATGTGTGAATACCATTCTGTAAGATGCTGTTCAACTATAGATTAGTCGGTATTCACAGAGGTGATTGCTTTGATGAATGAGTACTGGAAATTAACAGCATACAGCTTGTACAGAAAAATGTGCAGCTTTTAAGATATTATCTGCAGAACTGCACTTTCAGTACCATTAGTACAAATATTGCCTTTGCAGGAAATGGAAAGAAAAGTTTTACAGTGCTCTAAAATGTCAGAATCTGGTTAGACTTTATAGACTATGTTGTGCATGGACTAGAAGTGAATAGAGACGTCTGGAAAGGAGAAATTCATAGGATAAAGTCTGTTAAGTACCCCCCCCCCCCTTTTATTCCTCTCTTCTTTAGTAACCGCACCTTTGGCAATAAGATCAAGTTTAACTTGTAGCTTTTTTTTTATTTGGGGCGCAGCAGTGGCTCTGTGGCTAAGGATCTGTGCCTGTGACTGGAAGGTTGCCGGTTCAAATCCCGCAGTCGGCAGAGGAATCCTACTCTGTTGGGCCCCTGAGCAAGGCCCTTAACCCCAACTGCTCCAGGGGCGCTGTACAATGGCTGACCCTGCACTCTGACCCCAAGCTTCTCTCCCTGTCTGTGTCTGATGGAGAGCAAGCTGGGGTATGCACAAAGATGAATTCCTAATGCAAGAAATTGTATATGGCTAATAAAGCAACATTATCATTATCATTATCCTTATAACACTTCTGTGAATACCATGTGCTCTCATTCTTTACAAAGTCTCATTCGTGCTGCCTATTCATGTATTTTGCATGTAGTGAACTCATAGGTTTAGTTTTAAGGGCTGCATTTTACATACGTCTTTTGCTTGTTGACATGTTTAATTGTGGTTTGTGCATGTGATATTACATGACATGCATCTAAACTTTGTCTATATGACACAGCCTTCTGTGAATGAGACCCTGTTTGGTCTTCATTGCACTACTGATAGTGTGTTCTGTGCACTGTGATTTGAATACTTTTAGCAATATATTGAATAACCTGTTTGTTTTGGTCATGCAATTTTCAAACTGAAGAGTTTTTCGAACTATTTAGAATATATATGGAACACAAGGGTTCAATGGCTTGCCCACATTTCTAGCCTATATAAATCATTTCATTTGCTGGTATGTAACTGATTTAAGGTTTATAACCACTTGAACAATCAAAACACAATCACATTGTTAACAATTAAGTGTTAAGGTTTATAGTTCTAGGATTTTATTGGACTGAAGTAATCGTAGGGTCAGAAATAAACTTCTAGAGAATGCAGATTATGTTCCATTGGTCATTGCTATATAAAAGCAGTTTGCAGAGGGTAATGGAACTGGTCCTTGGTCTGTCCCAGATATTAACTCAAGCATTTGTGTAAAACCTTGAAGAGGAAATAACCCAAAGGTTTTTGGGAAAGTCCCCTAAAAGGATGTGTTTCTTTGATCTAACAATTTCTCATTATACATTGTCATTTCAGTTCTTTAATATTTGCATTCAGGCAGGAAAATATTGAACAGGTGTTTTCTTTCATAGCTGAACTATTTCTTTGTGGCATCATATTTAAACAAGCTGTGTTCCATTTTTATTTTTCATACCAATAGTTATAATTGACTGTAAATGACCTTTTCTATCCAAAGGTTGGAGCTACGATGCTGCAACATTTGCTTTAATTGGTAATTTCTGGAGCCTTTGTATTATATTTAAGGAAACCATTACGTAGTGAAATAAGAAAAATGTACCAGCTTGTCATATAATGAATTCAAAGTCTTTCACCATGAGTAATAGGAGTTCTAACCTCTTAAGATTTTCAAAGAAAGTCCTTGGGGTATAAACTTATTATATATATACTTATATCCCACCACAGTTATACAAAAATACATAAGCAATTATAAAAATCTAAATTTATGTTTTTTCCCATTTTTATACCTCTTCTCATCATCTCTGATTAGAATTTACTATTTGACCTCTAAACACGAGATTGTAGAAAGTGCATATATATACGTGAAAGCTTTTTCATTTATACATGCAGCATGTACAGTAGTGAAAGAACCTATGTACATCTCATAGTTTCTGATTACCCCAAAAGAGCTTTGGGAAGAATACAAGTAATCATGAACTTGACAATAGTATGTTTGAAAAATCATAATTTCGTAATTTATGGACTGACCAATCATTATCAACAAACAGTTTTGCAGACCATCTTGAAGGTATGGTGCTTTGCATTGTTGAGACCATACCACTGTCCTCTCTCATTTGTGTGATCATTATCTGCAAACCTGTGCTATACATGCAGTGACTGGACAGTTGATAGCATGCATTCAGTGTGATGTGCAATGAACATCCCTCCATGTAAGCTTTTAATACATCTCTTAATGTGTACATCACTTCCAGAAAGTTGTACAACATCATTTTTGAAAAGGAACAGGTAAAGGTTTATTCCACGCTGTAAAGAAAAGCCTGCACGTGCTGAAGCAGATATCTACTTCAACTTCTTCAATATTTTTTTTAATAAGATCCAGTATTGATATGCAAAGCTTCATGCCTTGAGGGCCAGAATGCGGGATTTTTCTGAACTTCTGTAAAAATGGGTTTTGGCTAAAGACCTTTTCAACTTGTTAAACTACTGATTAGGTCCTTTAGGGTATTAAGAACACAAACCAGAAGAGACTGCAGCCCACCAGGACTTATATAATTTGTACAGCATGTGTCCTGTCAATTGCACATTTCCAAAGTGTTTTAGTTTACTAAACAAAAATGAATCTTTGATTTTGAATCAATAAAATGCAGTGTGAGACATAGCAAAGGAAAAAAAATCGTATTGTGTATAAAATGTAAAAAAATATTAGGACATCTACAAAAAGCAATAAAACGTATACCGGTTTGGAGTCCTCATCTTCATGATCTATATAATCAAAACCTAAAAGGAACATGTGTTCATTCCTCAAAGATGGTGACATCATCATCCAAGATAATTATAGAATTTAACTTATCTCATGGGTACCTTCACTGTGTTAAAACGTAGGCTTCATTATAGGTGCATTGCCCTGTTTTTAAACCTTTATTTTTAATTTTCATTTACTTTGTTTTCATTTTGATACATATGCAGTGCTAATTAATAATGTTATTTTTTATGCGTTCGTTGAAAGGATGAAGAGGTTAGTATTCGGTTTTATATTAGTGGCCCAAAAAGGAAAAATAACATTGTGTGTATTTGAAGCCATATTTTAATGTTAATCAGTTATACACTGTAGAGGTTGTGTCTTTAGAAGGCATGTCCATATGTCTGCAGTGATGCTGTAAGCACTCTTCATGTTCCAAATTATTTACTCTTTGAGTGTTTCTAGCCTATAATACACCTCTGAATGTTCCCTTTAAGCATCTAGATTGCTGTTGTATGGAACATCACACTTTTGGACAGGGTACTAGAGATGTAAAAACATGTCAGAAGTATGAAACAGTAATTAATATATTATATCCTGCTACTGTTTTTCTTTGATGCATTTCATATGTGAAAATGTCAGGCTTGTTTCATTTCCTGTATAGGGTCACCCAATTTATTAATTCTGTAGTAAGTTTTAAAGAGCCTTATAGTTTTATTCTCATGCTTAGATACCCAGATATAAAGGATTTGTTAAACAGAGAGAGGAGAAGGCTGGTAAGAAGGTAATTGCATGCTTGAAACAATATATAATGTTATAGTTTTGATTATTACATTCACCTTTAGCACAAGAGACAGTGTGCAGCCAAAGCTGTGGTTCAACTCAAATTATATCTAAAAATTAGATATAATATTTTAATAAAAATGTTGTGCATTTTTAATATTTTCAAAAATATTTTTCTATGTAGAATGTCAAATGCTTTTCCTGAGAAAAAACTGAATTTAATAGAAGGAAATTGAATGTTTTGATTCTGTTGCCAGTCGTACCTTTTATTTAGTTTTTAAATTCAGAATCTTTTAAAGTGACTTTGATTAACTTATTGTGTATGTTGTTTATAGGCAGCTTGTAAGAACATTCTGTTGTCTACTGTCATGGCTACAAGAAATGTCAGTCTTTCTGATGCATATCTAATAGATGTTTAAAGACCTCATTTAGGTGAGGAGAAAATGGCATACCTTCAGCTCTCGGTATCTGTGGCAAGATCTGCCACAGTGGTACGATTTAAAGAACTCTTGTGCATGAGGTGTACTTAAGTCACATGTTGGTTGTAGCAGTGATTTAAAATTAGAATTGTAAAAGTTATGTTGGGAAATGTGAATAAAATCTGAACATGCCAATTAAAAAAACACCTTTTCTTACAAGTACTTTATTTTCCTTTTTTCTGCTATGCCACTGCTCTGTGCTAATGGTTTATGAATGATCAATAACTAACTCTTAATGAAAACAGTGCCCTAGACTTCACCACAATTATTGCAGCAGACGTTCATGCAATGCTTTTTATTTAATAAAATGGTGGCATAAGTAATAATATGTGATGTTTAACTAGCCATGCAAAAATGTACAATGAAGAATGCATTGTTGTTGTTAACCATCTGTAGTGGTTTCCCTTTGAAATTAAACTTTTAACATTGTGGATATTTATCTTGGGGTGTTATTTCAATCTAGGCTTCAAGCAATAGCCGCAAATGGCAGTTTTCTGTTTGATGTTTAAGCTTATCAGTTTGTTACTGGATAAACAAAGATGTGATTTCACTAACAAGTGAAACCAGAACACATTTCATTTTTAAGCATAACATAAAAGAACATTTTAAGACCAAATTAAGCAAATTGGCCAAATGTGACTTTATTTCAGTAGTTTTGTCTTGCAAGAGATGAAAGGCTTTTGCTACATGACTTAGTAGCTCTCTTAATACAACTTTACATGTAAAGAAATATCTAACATTGTCGGTCATGAATATATTTGACCTTTCTACATTTTTGTGCTATTCAATTTTTGTTATTTGGAACAAGTGATACAGATGAATTTGTATGTCCTTTTTTCTTTACAATTTTAAAATAACATTTTTTAGATATTTATGTCTACCAAATTTCACATGCTCTACAACCAGAATCTTTCATGATTTCACAAACTGCAAGCAAGTGAGTCAACACTTACTGGAGGGCAGAAATATCTGCCTTTGATGCGGCTTCCAGGACCCCATCCAGTCACAACATTTCTTGCTTCCCCGAATGTTGAGAGTCCCCTGGCTGATTAACCCTTACAGCATACAGCGCCTTTGATAATCCCAGTCAGAGCTGTGTGATGACATGACCCGAATTCGAAACAGCTATTTTTGAGAGTTCTATAGTGCACTCTCACTGACAGCCTTTTCCTCATCGAGCTATTTGGTAGCCCAAACATTTTGTTCTATCCCTAAATTAAATTGTAACCAAACCAAAGTGAATGAATGGGGTATATTTAAACCTCGGAAGTCATTAAGTTACACAACTGAGTTCTTCTTTTGTAGTACATTGCTGTCTTAACAAACAAGCATCCTTTAAACCTGCTCAGTACAATCCCAGGTAGGTGGCCACCAAGAGAAAGTGCTCAGTGGTCTTCCTCTAGAATTTTACAATTGCATTGGCTAAGAGATGCTGTCTTACTTGTGGATGTCTTTAATGTAAATCTGCAGTTTCATTGTACTGACAGCTTTAAGGATGTAACTTGCAAGTGAGCATTCCATATTTGCAATGGAAAACCGAGGACGTGGGCATGGGAGATGTTTGGAAAGATGTTCATGTACATGGCTGTTGCACTTAGGTCACACAATATGAGGCGTTTGTAAAGGATTTCTGTTTTTCTACACAATCGCTGTATGAAGCCTTATAGCAAGTACTATTTTTAAATATGTCATGTGAAAATGTATATTTTTGATCATCTCCCATTAAATCCAGATTTGGCTAAGTATTAATACATTACATCCGTGGCATACTGTAGCTGTTGGTACCATGAAAAAAGGGCAATAAAATGTCTCTAATCTTTGTTTTTTTCCCATTAAAGATTTTTGGATCTTGGTTTAAGAGACTCACTAATACAAGGTGCTGGAATGGGATGGGATATCTGTCCTGATGTATGCTGTTGGGCATGTGGTTGATTGTTGAAGCCTAATCATTGTTTTAACTTTTCTTAAGATGATGGAAGCCAGCCATAGTGATACAAGCTTGCCATCTTTGAAGAGTAAAAGCATCGTCCACACATCAGCCAGAGAATCAAAGCAAAGCGAGAACAGCAAAGGAACGTCTCTGATGAAGAAAGAACAAGATTTGGATGTAGATGAAGAGGATGAAGGTGATTCTTTCTTTGATGATCCACTTCCCAGACCTCAGAAAACATACGGCTGGTAAGAAGCTAGGTTCCTTTTCCCCTGGCTAAAAAAGAGATGTCTTTAAGAAGCACATTTCTCTGAACAGGTTGTGTGCAATGTGTTGTCAAATTAAAAAAAATATTCTTGTTGAGGAACTATTGTGTTGGTTATCTGGTCTACAACATACAGTACATAACTTTAACAATGATAACTGGAAATGCTCTTTTTGCATCCATTGGCACATACCTTTCATTGTGCTTTAAATTCTCAGCATTTTTCATTATACGATGATCTTGCTCTTCTTGAAATATTGATAGCAAGCTACTGGTCCATTTCTGCAATGATGTATGAATAGTTGCTGTTGCTATTGCAGCTAATTTACTTCATTTAATTTCTTATACTGGTTTTCCATCCTGATCAAAAAGGTGAACATTTGCAATCCAATTCCTTCTGCTTCATTAGTACATTAAAAAAGAGCAATGCTGAAATAATGGCTGGAAACAGCGCTTTAGCTGCTGATAACCAAGATCAAGACAAGCCCATCTGTGTCTTATGGTTTCCATTTTATTGCTTATGTTTCTCAGCATCATGGCATTTTGGAACATTGTATTACATGAAGTGATTTTGTTTCCTTGAACTCTTAAAGCTTTTTTACAGATTACATTATGCTGTTTATAAATTAAGCATTTGTGTACTTTGCTGTGCATATGTTTTCAACGCTTTCAACACAAAATTTTAACTTCATATCTCTATATGTTCCAAAATCAAATTAATTTAATCTAATGATGTAAATGCATTGCAAAATGGGACACTTATACATGAGAAATTATATGATAATTGAATTAGAACAGAAAATTGGTTTTGACTGGTTTTAATTACCCTTGGGATAGTTTTTCTTGTCTTTTTTACTAACTTTCATAGAGTCCTTTATATTCGAAGGTTTCCTTGCATATACAGTTCAATTTTAATAATGATTACTTACATTTATGTGGATATTTCCATCCACAAATATCCCAGAATATAGGAGTGGACCTGCCTTCACTGAGGTAGAGAACTCAACTGTGAGATGCAGACTGCACAGCAGATCAGAAGTAAAATGAAAGATCTTGCTGCACCAACTCCATTTAGGGGGAACTTCAAGTGTATCAGATTTTGCTTGTTCACAGTGAAAATATCACCAGGACATTGGAGTCACATCCCTACTCATATGAGCTGGGTAGTGGGATCGTTAGTGACAAAGTAGTTTGAAGCCTCCCTGGTGTATTGTCTTACCCAGGGGATGGCACCAATGTTTGTGGTCACCATACTGGGGCATTGGCTTAAAAATCTCTTCTAGATGTTAGTCATAATGTTATTATCTCAGAAGACTCAATGCTGACCCAGAACAAGCTGTTGAATAGAAATGAAACCACAACAGGATATGACTGATGCTTGTCAGGATTCGTCTTTCCTTCATCTTGACTTACTGGTGCGTGCAGTAGAAAAGCAGCCCACAATCATAATCTCACCTTTATGCTTCACAGTTACAACAGTGTTATTTTTTTTTTTGAGAGCTGTTCTCGTATTAATAAAAGTTCATGGTGGACCAAAAAAAGAACTCTGTATGATGAACGAAATGCAATTTGTGCCTCATTGATTCGTAGTTCCTTGAACTGTTCTTGATGGAACATCTCTGTGGTTAATCTTTTTCACCTTCTCAGTGGTTCTCCCTACTGTAGAAACTGGAACACTGAACCTTTAAGATTATCTTCCTTAATCCATCACCAGCCTTTTACTGCTGGCCATCAATACCTTATCTAAATTATTTCCCTTCAACAAAGATATGTAAATGCTGCAACCATTAATTATACGATATGGGCTTCAAAGTTTGAGATTGAGTTTTTATGTTGAAAATCTATGCACAGCTTCGTATTAGTATTTGTATATATCATTCCTACAAAAGCAAGCTGAGTTTGTGTTGTATATTGCTTGCGTTTTTATGCCAGTTATATATGCCTTAGAAAATTGCGAGCACAATGTCCTGCACATAATCTTGCTTTGCACATAGTTTTTTTATAAAGTATAATTTTGTCATAAGATAATTTGAACAATGTGCTTTACTTTTAATGAAAGAGCAGAAAATCTGCAAAGAATATGGTGAAATTTAATTAAATTGTGTAAAACCTTTTTAAAAGTGTATAATTACATCAGATATAGTCCACTGTTTATATTATTTTTCAAATATGTATGTTATGGAAAGTACAGGAAGCTTATTATTGTTTCTTTTTTCTTTCATTATCATTGCTGCATTTTGGAATTAGTCTTTCCATGGCAGATAAAAGTATTTCAGGGACAAGTGTCCCTGAAAACAAGATGAGCATTAGTCCCAAAGAGTAAGTATGCTGGCCTTGTTTTGCATAATGCACAGGTAAATTTGCATGTTGCTGCTAAGCAGTTAATGTTAGATGCTTGCGAAACCTACAATTAAATGCACTGATGTTCTTACAATAAGCTGCTTGACTCAAGAAGTAGGAAGAAGGAGCCTATTTTAATAATTCTATAATGAAGATGATCTTTTCATAGTCTATAGTGTATTGGCTTTCTACTTTAATTTCAGGTAACTCCTATAACATGAACCTAGCACAATTGCTGACACAATCATGTTAGCCAGAAAGGAACAAAACTGCAATATAAATCAGTATAGATCAGTTTATTAATAAAAAATCAGTTGTACTCTTATAAAAAATCATACTTTAAAAGAATTGCGCACTTCAACAAATTAAGGGAAATTATGCCTTTAGAAGTAGTTGGAGTTCAATGTTAAAATGTATGATTGAAGCCTATTTGTAGAAGAAAAATATCAGCAATTAACAGAAGATGAATTCTGATAATATTTAAGATTGAGAAAGTATTTTTCCCCATTTTAAAAATGTACCCAAGTAAAAATGATACCTACTTTCAAAATTGCCAGCTTACTTCAATGCAGTATCAAATATAACTATGATAATAATCGGTAACAATTTCACAGAACGAAATGAGCCTCACAAATATTGGATGGGGCCAATTATATTATTTTTCACTTTTATGAACAGTTATGTAATTGTGGTTTTAATTTCTCAATTTATAATAGTATATTTCAAAATAGTACACATTTCTTTGTATATCTTCATTTTTACATATGTAAAATTGAAAGTGTAGCTATTTTTTCCAAAGCTGTGCTATAGAACTTTGAACTCCGTTGATACAGAACCCCCCAAATATTTGTGTTGTTTTTGGTAATATATATTGAATACAAAAGTTGAGAACATTGATTATTCAGTTTTTGGATCAGTTAACTTAATTAGGAATAATTTTACATGTATTTGTGGAAGTCCTGATGTGTACGTCATTAGATATACATCAGTGGACTAAAGAAGCCCAGCTTGATTTTTCCTAGAAAATACTGAAAGGACTTGATTCCTATGTTTTGGTTAAGTATGGGCAAGGCAAGACTTGCTTTACATTTTTCAGTTTTCTAAGGTAATAAATGGAGTGTATAGTAATTTTCACTTTAAGATGGAAATTTAAGATTAAAAGACAAGTGTAAATCCAAACCACTTCTTTATTTGATACCTACATAGTTTTTTGATTTATGTGACATGGCTACCTTCTTAATATCAAGATTTCAAAAAATACAAATGGTTTTATTACATAACCAGCTTGTTGATATAAACAGGATTCTAGATGCTGATAACTGACGACTGTTTTGATTATGGAGATCAAGGACAAAGGACTTTGAGGTTTCTTGTGGTTTCTAGGAACGCTGCCACTATTTTCTCTTTAAACTAATATGCTTTGGTTGTCCTCTTTTAGTTTCAGTTACATTGTGGTACTTACATATGTTGTTCTTTCTGCTTCCATTCTCTTTTCTGTCTTCTTTTACCATAAAAGAATAAACTGGCCACAAAAGGACAAAAGTATTTCATTTTCGCAAATGAAGAAGAACAGTAGCCTGAATGAGTAAGTGCATGCAGTGTCTTTTTAAAACCAAACACATAGTATTTAAATTGCGTACTGTACACTTCAGAGCATAGTCATTCTTAGATCATTTCTTGAAGTCTTTTAGACGAATAATAAAAGCATTAATATTAGTCATTCCATGTGTTCCAGAATTCTTGTGGAAGATGTAGCAACCACTTAGGGGTAAATTGAAAAAATCTAAGGAACTTATCAAGGCATAGATAGATGGCCCTTTCATTTTCTGTGCCTCCAATGTTCTTGACATCTCTGTCCTGCAAAGTTTCCATAGGAAGTCATGGAACATGGCTTTGATTGGTTTGACACAAATTGGCTATTATAATACAATTTGGATTATGGGGAACTGGTTTAGCCCCATAAATTAAAAAAAAATATTTTAAAATTATTTAAAAGAAAGAATTTAGATTTAAGCAGAAATTTGAAAGAGTAAATAGTTTATTTTTAGAACTTATTTCTTGTTTAAGACCTGAGGCTTTTTTTCGTTCTTTCTGCTTGCCTTGTGTCCTTTACCAATTTGTTGTGCTTTTTTCTCTATGCAAATTCTGCTTCTCAACTCTTAACCTCTACATGTCTTTGTGGTCAGCCTCTCTGCTATAAACAGTGACACTGATGAAGATGCAGAGGATCGTTTTGCAGAAAATGATAACAGGTACAGCCTAGATGGGAGGTGAGACATAGGGGTTCAGTTGTTTTTCTTTAACAAGCTAGAGTTTAATCACAGGTTCTAAAACTTGTGAAAAACGGTGTAGATTATTTTTCAACCATAAAAAACTTGCACCCTTACTGTGAAATCAAATGTATCCATCTCGTGCTTAATGTATACTCCTTCGCAAAATATTAAATATATATCATGAAAAAAAAGCCCCCAGCTCACTATCAACCTAAGGATTGTCTAGACCCTTATGCTAGGAAAAAAGCCTTGCTGATACTACAGACTGAGTCTCTGAGTCCAGGCCTTCTACAGTCTAAAGCTACTCTCGCTCATCTCCTCAAATATAGATCTACCTCATTGCAACGGACACATAGCATCTAAAGGAGGTATTACTGTTTTTTTATGTAACAAAAGGACATAGGACCCCTGGCACTTTAAAACTGTTGCCACATTGTGAGAGTGTTTTCTCTAAATTAGTGCATCCCAGAAATTGATGTTTTGCCAATCAAGCTTCCCCACCAAATTTACTGTAGCATGGAGACTGGTCTTTTGATTGCAGCCAAGTCAGTATTGCAATTATTTGGCAAAGAATCAAGTGGTAAAGGCCTTAAGCACTGAGCTTGAAGAGTTGCAAGAAGCTGCAGTGCAGCACAGTAAAGGTTTCAAAAAAGTTTTAATCTTTTTACAGAAAAGTCCTTTTCCTAAGACTAAATGGGTCTAACAAAAACACAAAACTTTGCTTCTGTTATGCTCTCAATACTGTCATTCTCCAAAGGTTTTTATAATCTTAGTACAGCTAGTTAATCTGTTGTATCGCCATAAATGTCATGTTAGGAAAGAGAGTCTATTACATATGTTTATAGAAGCTTTTGTTCTCCTATGCTACATTACCTTTGCTTACTGCCCTGTCTTTCTCACACCTGAAGAAGGCTCCACGGCCAAAATGTTGTGTTTTCTCTCTTCTCTTTTCAGCATGGAATAAACCTATTACTTATTCCTTTGCAGATGCAGCAACCCACCTGAACTAGTATAATATGACAATGCCTATCCCTACCTTCCAGTTGCTCTAAAATGTGATTTACTCTTTATGAAGACATTTCATACAACAGCACAGTCTGTTCTCTTCCTCGGCATGTATATAACACACAGAAGAAACCCTGCAGGCCATTTCTAGACTAGTAATGTGACTAGAAGTGCAACTTGGATCCCCCCACTGAGACAGCAGGGCCAGGCTGCCTACCTCCTTGCTAAAGGCGTTGCCTTCAGTAGGAGTCTGTACTGTAGAAACCTGAAAAAAACATTATGGGCTTGTTGCTCCCTCCAGAAGAGCAAATGCATTGCTTGGGAATTCATCTGGTTCATCACATTCAGATTCCTCCAGTAACCCTACAAATCAGATAAGGAATAAGTAAAGGTTTATTCCATGCTGAAAAGAGAAGAAAAGAAACACGTTTTCTTCTCAACGTTGTGTTTCTCTTCTGACGTTTTCTGATGCAGCTACCTACTTGATGCTTTTTGTTGCAGGGGTATTCATTTCTTGTGCTCATTTTTTGTTTGTTTTACCCAAAGCAAAGCCCAATATAGAAGCCAATTGCTAAACAGTTATATGAGTGTTTAAGTACTCTCCTGTTGCAGCAGTCTAGGATGTCAACACCGCCTTCTCCTTTTCAAAAAGCTGTGGAATGGTTTGCTAGTAGGGTGATTTGCTGATCTATATAGGAGAGCAGTCATCTTGTCCAAAACAATAGATTCAAATTATTTCAATTATTATTTGCCAAAAAGGTAGGAACATGGTGGGAGATAAGGCTCCATCTCCACCATGTACAAACCAGGTTCAAAATATAATACATACAAAAATACATATAAAAAGAGACATGGTGATGTCGGTGGTTTTCTGGTTTTGTGATCCGTGGTCTTTTACTCTCTTTAGAATTAATCCAAGCTATTTTTGCTCTGACTTGCACATGCAGTGTTGACAAAAACGTTAGCCCTTGCTTTTATTGATCATACACAACATCTGCTTTCCAGCAAGAAAAAATTCTAATAGTATAGTTGTTTATATACTATACAAAACATGAACAAGACATTAACACATTTATTATCTTTGAGTCAAATGTTATAAAATATCAGGCAAGATTAAAACCAAATGCTTTTGAATACATTATTGCAGTGTATACCAAAAAGCATATTTTTGTCTCATTAACTCAGCTTTTAGCTAGAAAATGTAGTAGGATAACATTATAAAGAAAAATGATAATTGTGTAGTACTATATTATGTGAAGGGACAACTGCAATTTATACAAACTTCAACTACAACACTTTTAAAGATCCCCTAAAAGATTAGAATTACAGGAGATGTTGACTGAATTGGAAATTTTAAAAAAATCATACAACAGTTGCTTGTTGTGTGCATCAAACCTTTTTAAAAACAATGCTGGACATTAAAATAAAATGTGTTAAGGTGTGTGTTCACAGTTGATTAAACATCATTGTATGGGAAGGTCTAGTGGTTTCATTTTTCCCTCTTAATATGGTAAATTGCCACTCTTGATCTCTCAGTGGGCTTCCAGTTTAGAGTGTTCACATACAATGTTGTTCGTTGGACTGTTTTGTCAGTTAACTCTTTGGAAATGTCTGACATGCAAGTGTATTGTCTGTTTTGTTTCTTTCCAGTCGTATTTTTGCAACTCCATCATAAGAATGCTTCATGCCTTGAAATGATTCTGCTTATTAGGTTTTCATTTTAATAAATGCAGACTTCAAGGGATTTAGGGCTGGAAAAAATGTCTACATTCGAACTATGTCAACTCTGAGTGCTTTGTGAGTTTCCACTTTATGATTTATTTGACATTTTGTTCCTAGGAGAACTGACTCTGCTAAACCACTTGGAAGCCTCACCTCTTTGTCAGATGCACCTCCTCTAAAGACAAGTTTAGGATCCACAGATGGGGAAGCACCACTGAAGCCAATTTCAGAAAACAGGAATGGTAAGTGTAGTGGTAAGAATAGAGATTAGGACTGGTACGTTAGCTAGTTGTAATGGTAAGAATAGAAAGACTGTTACTTTAGCACAGTGTAATGGTAGGAATAGGAGGACTGATACTTTACCAGGGTGACACAGGAGAACACACAAGGTAAAAAAGATAACTTCTAGTTATCTTTTAGTTCTAGACTAGTCAAGCTCCTGTTAGTGTCCCAAGAAGGCATCAGGGATCGTGAAGCAGAACTGATTTTAAAAAAAATATTCATAGTCTTGTCTTCAATATCTCAAAACGTATTTTGTTTTACTGCCTTCCCCAAAAAGTGCATGACTGGTGTTTTGCATTTTAACAGTTTATATCATTTATTTTTAGTTGTTAAGAATTTGGACTTTGGATAGACCTGTTTCACTAGTGGGATGGCATGATACCACCGTTGTGTATAAAATTTGTTGTGAAAGGAATGAAAGGGGGTTTAAGTTATAAGAATGTGTTTCTTCTTTTTATTTTTCATAGGTAATGAAAAAGACAGAGGATTGAAAGACTTGACAAGAACAAATGACAAAATAAGTTCCCTTGGTTTAGGTAAGTTGCTTTTGATATGGCTTTTTTTACTTTTCTATAAGAAACACTACCCCTCACGTAAGGTTGTCAGTCATGTTCTTTAGAATTTTTTTTTTAACATTCCACAAGGAATTGGGGGTAATTAATTTCAGTGGAGTCTGCTCAGATGTGGACTTCAGAGAATGGTGCATTAGGGGTGCTCATGAGCGACCTTGTGAAACACACATTTAGCAACGGGATGCCCTAAGCTGTTGTAGACTTGAGCGAGAATGCGCTTATGAAGGCCGCAAGACCACAAGTGTGCATAACGGGACACGGCCCAACATTTTACAGGACCACAATTTGCAAACTAGAATGCAGCAAAGCAAAGAATCGCCACGGGATATTCATTTAATAAGGGAATGGAGTATTTAGTGTTTGTTCTGTATTTCACATTTTATGATGTGGTTTTCAGTAGCAATATATTCATAGGTCATATCATAACTTTTTGTGACCTCGTGATTGTAATAAATTCACTTGGCTGTAAGTTCAGGGCTGATGATTGAAGACATGAAATGTAAGCCACAAAACTCCATGATTATTTGCTCTAGTGCTCTTGTGCAAAATAAGAATATATAAAAAAGTGAAAAGACTTAACATGCAACAGAAGTAACAAACTGCATTTTTACTATAGTACAACTACATTTTTTATTTCAATGCAAACAAACAAACTCAATTAATTGCTATACCTTGCGTGCCAGCTTAAATATCCTCAGCTCCAGTCCTGGCTCTTGAAAGACAGGCGAGTCTCTATGTAAACTGAGGTGAGTCAGGGTCTAACCTGACACATAATGGTACAACAGACAGGAGATAAGGACAACATTGTGGATCCACAATAGATAATATACAAAACACACCTAATACACAATGTGAATATTGATATTAATTATAACAGTAATGGGTGGGGATATACAAAAAAATGTTTATATCTTCTGGAATAATGAAAATGATTAAAGAAGCAAATGGAGAGATTATGAGAGACTTCATCATAGGGTGTACAACAGGCTTTTATCACAATTATCAGTTTTAACAACAGTACATCCAGTAAATCCAGTAAATAATTATTTTGTACTTTGCATATATAATATACTGATAAATATTCCAATCTGTGTATTGTCATTAGGTTGTCACAGACTTAACAGTGGATGTTAGCATATTTGCTGCCTTTCCACTTTCTATGAATACAAAGTATCTGTGTGGTTTTACAAGTGGTGTCATCGTATTCGCTGTGGTTGTATTTGATGTCTGGTTTTACAAGGCCCTGCTCATCGGTTTCATCGGCCTCACCATTAGGTACAGATTCAAGTTCCTCTCTCGTGTTATCTACTTTGGACTATTGTTATGCTACAACAGTGCAGTGCCTATCTTGGGGTATTATTGTAGAAATGATTTTAAACATCAGTACCTCCTATGTCACTGTATGAAGAATGTTTCTGTACTTCCAACTATAATACAAGAATATGTAAGGCAGCTTTGCATAACTACATTCTGACAAAATAATGTTCAGATATGCTTTGTTTTAATGTATGAGATGTATTTTCTAATTATTGGAAGTGGTGTGAAGAATTTTATATTAAATTAAACTAAATTATATAAATCTTAAATTGCCCTCCTGAGATGAATAAAGTATTTTTAATTGAATTGAATATTTAAATTTTTCCCAGTTATCTTCTGTCTTAAGATTCTTAAACTTCCACATTCCAGTTTTTATGACAGTGTATTGTGTTGCCAGCCAACCACTGTCAATCGGTTCGATTCAGTTTTAGTCTTGTATAGCACCCTTCACAACAAGTTATCATAGAGCACATTTACAGTTATTTACACAGTTTATGTACAACACAATAAATCAAAATGAATTTGTGTAACGGGGTGAAATGATGTAATGGGATGTTTCATAAGTGTAACAGTGTAACCATCAGGCATAGAATAGAGAAAAACATAAAAATTCCATAAGAAAATAAATCTCTGGATGTTCAAAGCTCAATATTTGCCTGTCCTCCGGGCATATATAGTGATGTTAATATCTAATGTTCTCTACTACATTATTTTTCTGTTCACAGGATATGAAGATGAAGAATATGATGATGATTTTAACAGGTATACGGTATACTACTACAATACCTGTTTTTAAATCTTTATTTCAATTTGGAAAAAATAGCAGATGATATCTTAATTATCTCTGTGTGGTATACTCTGCTATTTACAGTGGAATACAAATATGCTTGATCTCTAAGTACAATTATAGGATAAAAATATTTTTCCTTGTAACTAGATCTGTTCTTTGCATTTTCAAATAGCACCAGTCATCAGTCAGATAAAACAAAAAGTGAGGTAAGCATTGGAGAAGAGATCGAAGAGGAGGTCTCCATCGAAGGGGCAGATTTCAGTACCACTGACAAGGTATTATTGATTGTATTAAAATTCACTGCAACACATTAACATTTAACACTATTCTTCACTTGTAAAAACTATACCATTCTACCTTCACTAACAGGTGATGAATTCAGCAGTAATCTATTCATATTGCAGTTTTAATATGTAGGGTTATTTTAAATAGTCTGCATTATTCAGGCATGTTTTTAAATCATTGCAATGTTAGGAAAGCGTTGACAATTTTTAGGGAAATAAATTAAAAGGAACACACACCCCTTTACAAATACTGAATTAAGGGGAAGTTCATATAAAGTCAGCACAATTTACCACAATAGAGGTGTACTATTATTATATTAACAGAGGAACTTGGTTGCAAGTATACCGGAAGAGATTTCACACGAGAAGGATTAAAAAACAGATAAGATTCCTCTTGGGCTATGTATAATTTTAATTATTCTGCTATTTAACTTGAGTTTCTGACATCTGACGAATTACAAATAGCTGTTCTGAAAAAGCTTTTATATCCTATATGAAAAGCACAGAATACCTATAAAATTGTGTGGTTCAGAGTTTTATTCGGACAAAGTAAAAAAAAAAACTAAAGTCATTATTCTCTGTAGAAGTTTAGATACTAATCTTTTTCATGTTGGAGAAATTCATGAGGCATTAATTTTGTTGAATAAGTTTGTGATCCAGAAAGCACTGTTTTTATTAAAGATGCACATTTAAATGAAACATTTTACATATCAAAATGCATAGTACAAAAAATTTAAGCTGGTCACAGGCATGCCATCAAGGGTGTTTATGTTCAGTGTAGATGTAACCTAACCTGTTGTTCATGCTCAGATCAGACTTTTGTAGCTATGGCTATATAGAAAGTCATATTTATACCCATACAGAATTATCTGTATTATCTCTGGACCTTCAATTGTGTCTTTCTGTCATTTAGTTTGGGATAGTATCTATCTACAATGTTGTTTCTTATCTCTTGTAGCTTGAAGACCTAACTCTGGATCACAGCATTTCACAGTTCAGTAACTCTGCAGACTACATGGAGGGAGTAGAATAAATGGAATATAAGTGACTGTGTATCTGAAGAAAGGCCTGAAAACACACCTGGTTCTAGTCAGTCTTTTTTGAGTAAATTATGGAGTTCTTAAATGTTGGTGAACTAGATTTTACTACAATTTTCATTTTTATGAAATAAGATGCTTTTCAGAAAAAAAGTTATGTCTGTGTTTGGGTGCACTCCAGAAACCATGCCAAGAAAGAAAAGACTGTTGTGAACCCTTTACGAATATTGTGCATTGTCTGGAAAGTGAAACTAGATCACAGCAGAATCTACTGCTGTGTTGTTAAACGAACAGTTTTGAACTGTAGCAGCAAAGAGATTAGTCAATACAAAGCTATTGCAACTATTTAAGGTGTAGTACTGTACTGTGACTGTTGACAAACATAATACATTATCTTTCAAGCGAAAACAGATGGCTGTGACAAAGGTTTTGATAACTGCTAAGAATTTATGTATGGTACACTTCTTTAAATGGTACAAGGTTTATAGAGCTACTCAGGGGTAGAGAAATGTACCACATACCAATGCAAAAATATGAAATTTTGTGTACTGTCGTTTGAACCAAACCGCCGTGTAAATATTTTGATGCACCCATGCATAAAAATCATCTTGAGAAAGATATCCACATTTAGGATGTCTCTTATGGCTTAAGAGATGTTTAGTACTTTAACCATTAAGATTGGGTTGAGAAAAAATAGTGTAATTATGCTATATTAAATACCTGCTACCACATACTTGCTAATGTGTTCCATAAATGTATTTATTAAACCCAAAGTGGGTTTGAAAACTGAGTTAATTCTCCTATCTTTTTTTTTAATATAGTTGTTGCCTAGATTTTGGTTTAGTAAACAGTCATGGAACTCATTGTCAAGTTTGTGAGATTTATTTTAGGTTGAACTTTAAAATGTGTACCTTCTGCACAAGACTTTAGTGATTTGATCATTTGAAACGGTATGACCTTAAGACACTAATTTGCTATACATCATAAGGAGTTTGTGAAAAGTATTTTTTAGGGGACATTTTGTGTAAATATAAAATTGAATCCCTGTCTTGTCTGGTATGGTCCTCTTGGAACAACAATCGCAAAAGCCTTTGGGAAATAATTTGTTATAAAAAAAAGACAGGCAGTGAAACGTGAAAATTTATGTATTGAACTCACAGGTAATCTTTAGTGCACAAGAAATCTTTTTAATTGCTGTTAAATTGATAGTCAGTGTATTAAAAAATAAATTATCACAACACCTGTCTAATTCATTAAGGACAAAACTGTGGTATGTGTACCTGAATTTAAAATATCGAAAAAGGTTCAGACTGTGCAGCATCTGAACAGAGTCTATTCACTGGACAGGGTTTCAGAGTTTGTTTACTTTTTGGTTTCATCTATCAATCATAGCAAAATAAAGTTAGTAGAATAGGGTTTTTAATGCTAGCAACATTTGTTGTCTTGTTCTTTTCAGTCTTTGTTACCATAGTAGTAGTAATAAGAAAGGTTACAAAAGATAGATCAGTTCAGACCATTTAGCTTTTTTGGTTGCCAGTAGCTAATTGATCCAAAAATCCTAAGATCTTATCAAGTAACATGTCTGAGTCGCTCATACTACACTTCCCCAAACCTTTTTGTAAACAAATGACACCTGTTCTCAGTATTCAGTGCACTTTTACATAGTTTCCAGTTCTCTTCACATTGTATTTCACAGCTGATCAGAAAAAAATCTATCAAACCAAAAGTAACAAAGGAGGATAAGTTATTTTATCACTGGCATGTTTCTGGTCTCTTTTTTAATACGGTGGTCAAAAGTGTTATACCTATTTGCCCAGTTAAATTCAAATGTGGATAGCATTTTTTTTTCTAGTGTTCACCTGACATGCTGCTGTTCACACATATATACCAATATGGCTGCACAGTTGCCGCTTTGTTCTCACATTGCAAACAGACTCTGTTGGCAAGCATTACACTGACTTCATCATCATAATATTACGCCTGGCCACAGCAGCTTCGCAACACAAGAATGTGTGCTTCTGGAACTAATCTAAATGTTTATGACTACCTTTTTTCAAATGCAATATTAATTTTAAAAATTGTTCATTGTTCATTTATAGGGAAAGCATCCACTTACTCTTAAAGCTTGATTTATTTTTCCACGTTTTTTTACTTCTGTTTTTATGTGTTAAAATTGAAACTTTTTTAGCCACACAACTTCCAACTTTTAAAATGGAGTTTAAATATATCTAGTATAATAGAGCATTTCAAAATTTTTTTCAATCCATTTTAATTTTAATCTCCCTAGTGGACCATACAATTTTCACTAGGAATTTAGAATGTCAGCATAGGTTTTCAAGTGGAACTAAATTCATTTGCTGTATCACAGCAGTGCCATAATTAGTGAAAAGGTACATGTATCACTAGACATTATCATGCTGTGTAATTCCTTTTTTTTGTGCCAACATAAAGTATTTGTAAAGATACCTTTAGTGAAACCAGAAAATAGGTTATGCCATTAAATTTAAATGATTATACCACATCAAAACAGGTAGAATCCCTAATGTAACAGGAAAGGAAAAAAGCAAAGCACATTTTTCATCTTGCATGGTGACCCTGATTTGGAAATACAGTGTGACCAAATTTACTGAACAAATGTGGCTTATGGTTTAATGATGATTAGAATAGATATATAAAACCTCAAATATAGTTTCCAATTTATCTGACGGCAGTTTTATATTGACTTTATTGCAGTCACAAAATAAACAGTTTTATTGGGTATTTATATGAATATTTCAGTTTATTTACTACAGTATAGTAGAAAGACCAGAATTATTCTTTGTGTTCTTCATTTTTTCTTTTCCAAAGAAAAAAGGTTATTTTTTTATGTTTTTAATGTCTTTGAAGTGTATATTTTTACATGGCTACAGTTACAGGTTAGCAAAATGCACAGCTGTATACAGTAAATGTGAATCGCTTTAGTTAAATGAGTTTAATTAAATTTAAGAAAAATCAGTTGTGTTCAAGCTGTGTGTGTCTGTTCATAACAGGACAAAACACTGCAAGACAATTAGCATTACTGTAGGCTTTGTCATGTACAGAAAAGTTAAAATTCCCAACTCTGTTTTAATTGAAAATAGATGTTGTGACTATTCATAAAACAGACACCAGAAGTAGAGGATACAAATGGAAATGAAAGTACAGGCTTATTCAAGCAAAAAGAGAAATGGGGAAATGCAGTATAGAGTGCTTTAAAGAGAGGTTGAGTTTTTCCGCTGTACCAAGTCTCAAAGCATTGTAGGTTAAGCACCAGTATTTACAGGTTTCAGTGTGCTATAGCCATACTATTGAATACATTCACATTGTATGAGTATGGACTCAGGATATTAATAAATGTTTGCAATCGACATTTCATTTGATGAACCTTTTCATTTCTTCATTTTATTTCTTCAGCATAACATTTTTACCATATCTGTAATGGAGTCCTGTTTCTTCTTATATATATTTTTTTATTTTATCAGTTTCCTCAAAAACACTTCTCAAATTTGTCTGAGGAATGTTTCATAGAGCAGAAACGAAGGGTTGCACAATATGTTGAACTTGGTCACATCTGGAGGGCTTCCTCAATTCCTCAGATTAAGGACAAGAGGGATCTTTTTGATAGATTTTAAATAATATAGTAAAAAAATAAACAGCTGATATTATTCTAAAAAAAAGTGAGTGCACTCACAATAAAACATGAAGCAAGGGAAGAAGCTCGTATTAAGGGGTCCATTAAGAAGCATGCTGTGAAAAAGCAGCACTGAAACATATGAATGTTTAAACCCATGCTAACGTCACCAAACTAAACATCATCATCCTAATTCCTTGCGTTTATATAGAAATTTTAATCCCGAAGAATTTCAAAGCTTCTTAAATGTAGTAGGAGATCCGCTTTATCACTGAAGTACAGCATCCAGCTGGGTTGATTTTGTATTAGTATGTATTCGACGTTATGGGTTTGAAAGCAGTTTTAAAATAGGAGCTCCTTTGGTGCTGAAAACTGATTGGAGTAGCTGTTCTTACAGTCCTTCATGTTAACATAGAATGGATCAGACAAGCAAATTGTAATTCAGAAAGAGTCGGAGGAGAAGACCCAGCTATTCATGCAGGTGACATATTAAGATCCTGGAAGAGCATCAATTCATCAGCTTTGTCATCAGCTGTAATGTGCTCGAGGGAGAAAACAAGCAATAAGGGACAAAAAATGACAACAGCTTATTGTTTTGAAAATGACAGCAAAATAAAACCGCTCCAGACAACACTGTATCTTTCAACATTGTTTTGAGTGATTAGCAAATGCTTGTGGAGCTGCAATGTGCATGTGAAAAAATGTTCATTCGATCTTCTGAATCTTTGTGCAGCACTAGTTTGTTGATTTTCAATTGCATTAGCAGCCTAAGTTTAGCCAAGATTTTACCACATTTTATTGGATAATTTATCTCGCTTAAACTGCACATTAAAATGCTGTTCTTCTTTAAAAAGTAGTCTGGTGATTATTTGGAACAGATGTGTGTGCTGTACTCAAATAACTCACCTCTAAATTGATCCAAATTATTTGTTTTTGCTTTATTGTAAATGCTTTTTTTTTTTCATTTTAATGTGGTGTTATAAAATTACCCTTATTTCAATAATAGTCAGATAATTAAGAAAACGAGATAGTCCCAGTTTTGCCGATGAAGTCTGGATATTTATCCAGGATGTAAATCAGGACTAATTATTGGAATAATACAACTTTTCTTCCATGTATGTATCATAAACATAATGATACATATAAAATTTAATTAAATCTTTAAAAGAACATCTCAAAAAGAGTGCACAGTATGTTGTGAATTCTCAGGAGCTTATCTGTGCTCTTTTTGAACACTGTTAGTTCTTGTTTTCATCCCCTGCACATATCATTGGCATCCTGTTAGGTAAAACAGGAAGAATAATTAGGCTGTAAACATGCATTTAATTTAAGGTCTACACAATGAGCCAGATGAGAATAGCACATTGTGACACAACACACAAAAAATGCTTGTGACATATAAATCTGATTTATATTGTATATATGTAAAAGGAAGGTATGAGACTGGACTTTCATGAATTTATACTAAAGAGCATTAAAACACAACAAATGTTAATGTATCCAGTTCTCTTTTGCTACATTTTTAATGTTTCTCAGTGTATAAGCAAGTACATTGTCACTAAAGAAAATTATAATAGTGTTAGCGCTGAATGGAAAAGTGTTACTGCATATCAAAAGATATTAGAGAACAAAAATCTAAAATGGGTATTGAAAATGACTCATAAAAGACTCCCCATTTGTTTATCCATTTCAGTCTCGGAATTCAAGTTAGTGTAGGTCAGGATGCTTTTAAGTCTAAAGATTAGATCTCGAGGTGGAAACAACAGGTTTTTTAAATGAATGAAAACCACAGAAATCTGTGGGAGTTCAATTTACCTATTTTACAGTAAAAACGTGTCCTGTGTGACAAAGAGCACTGATAGTGGGGAGGGGGATAGTATTTCAGTTGTAGAGCAGCAAAATCTAAAAATCAGGACTGACATTTCATTGTCATTGGTATTTTTGCATTTATTTTCATCACTTGCAACAGTGGGATTTAAATCATTTATTTATGAAGGCACAAAGCTTATTGAAAGTCAAATGTAAGTAAAGTGTAAGTAAAAGAAAAAGATCTACATCTTTTTCAGAAAGAATTAAAACTTGCTTATGATCCAATATGTTCCTTAGGTAATTCAGATAAAACTAGCCGTTCCCTGTTTTCTCACTTCTGTTGAGAAAAGCCTGTTAAATCTGATTTAATTAAGGAGACCTCAGACATCGTTATATACTGTAGTCAGGCCGTCTTTTGCCCTGTCAAAACTAGTCACTGGATATTTCTGAAATTCTGTCCAGACGCACTAAGGTACCACTGCAACATTGTAGGAAAATAGTATCAGCATACTAAGCAAAAGCCACTCCTACTGACAAATTTGTGTTCACATAAAACACAGGAATTTAACTGAACTGAATTTAAGACTTTAAGGCTGCATTATATCTAAGGTCTTTTTTAAAGTATACATTTCTGTTTGAAATGAATTTGTTTTTTGCTTCCCTGTATTATAATTGTATTATAATTCCTTAACTTAGCTCTCACTGGAAAGCACCCTGTGAGAAACTGACTAAAACCAAATATTTCTGTTATAACACATTGAGTAGGTTGTATTGATGTATTTTACAGTGATAAGGCATTTGAAGTATGAAATATGTACTGGCATTTAAAAAGTAGGACAGTGAAACACATTGCTCATTTATGGGACACAATTACAATGAGACTTCTTTACATTCATAAAACTCAAAATTTTTACTCACAATAATGTGCAGCCCACTATTTTCTTATCTTTTAGGTAAGTACAGCTGTAATGTCCGTTGAAAATTCGACTTTTTTCCATATACAGTACCTGTAATGTGTAAAATTATATTTATATACAATATCTAAATGCTGTTCATATAAATAATATTAAATGTATATTTATTGATGTGAAAATGAGTGTTGACACATTGTATTTTTGTGATAAGAGTGGGGCCTGATCTAATAAAAATACATTTTGTCACAAAACCCACATAATAAATCATTCTACCGAAAACTATCCTTTCTGCAAAACTGTTCTTACCTGACCTTGCTTGCTATTTTACCATTGTTTTGTAATCGCACATGTCCGTTTGAAATAGATCCATCCAACCATTTTTTTACTAATACAGGATCACAGGGGGAGTTGGAGAAATGGGTGAAGGGTAGGGTACACCAAGGTCCCTTGCAGGGCAGACACACATTCACACCAGGGCCAGTTTGGTCAGAAGCCAGTTCACCTACCAGTATGTCTTTGGACTGCAACTAAAAGAAACAATAGTAATCTATTAAAATAACCATGAATCCCTCCTCTGCGTCCAGCCTTGCAGTTTCTCTCTCTGTGATGATCACGCCCCACTGTAAGGAAATAGGCAGTAAAACTGTCCCTGTCAGAGAGCCTGTAAAGATGTCTCCAGCCCGTCATTCCCCACACCACACACAGAACCAGGAGTGTCCGTTACAATACGAGAACAAGACTGTGTTGAGATGCAGATGCTGCGTAGTGGGTAAAGCAAGACCTGACAGCAAGGAGAGGCTCTCTTACTAGATCGATTCATCTCACAATCCTAGTTTGTTGCACCACTAATTTACGATTATGATTATTATTAATAATAATAATAGTAATAATAATACACCTACATTGTGACCATTGCATAATCATTATCTACTCATTAATGAGATAGTTGGGCATGAGTATGATTTAACCTGCTGAATGCCAATTCTGGCAAAAATCAAGATAGAGAAATATAGAATAACCAATAAGTCAATCAAGAGATCATCTCTGTGTCATTAGAATGTTGGAGGCTGGACTTCACCGCATGTGGGACATCAGCAGTGGAGTAGTCTTTTTTTAGTGACAAATCAAGGTTTTGCATAAACCACCCTGACAGACGTCAGCGAGAGTGGCACAGACATGCAGGATGATATACTCATTCATTGTTTTCTACAACGGACCAATCAAGGGGATGAAGTGTGATGCTCAAGGCAGGAGTGTCTATTCGCTACAGATCTCTTCTTGTAGTGATTGATGTCAACTGCCTTCATGGAGCTACATTGATCTAGTTGTCACTTGCTGTCTCTCCTGTGGGACATGACAACATTCCAGTGGGTCAACCCATATCTTCATCTTGCGTATTGCAATCACACAAGGGACAACCTGTCACATTGGAATGCCTTTGAATGTTGAATATTAATTCCTTATACTTATATAGCACTTTTCTGGACACTCCACTCAAAGCGCTTTATACTGTAGGTAATGGGGACTCTCTTCCACCACCACCTGGATGATGTGACAGCAGCCATAGTGCACCAGGATGCACACCACACATCAACTCTCAGTGGGAAGGAGAACAGAGTGATGGGGATTATTAGGAGGCCATGATCGGTAAAGGCCAATGGGAAATTTGGCCAGGACGCCAGGGTAACACCCCTATTCTTTTATAGGAATGCCTTGGGATTTTTAATGACCACTGAGAGTTGGAACCCTCGTTTTTCATCTCTTCTGAAGGATGACTCATACAGACTGCTGGGTGAGCAGCCCCTGCTGGCCCCATTAACCTCTTCCAGGTGCAACCTTAGGCTTCTCAGGAGGTCTCCCATGAGCTTCAGGAGGTTGCCAATTGTGAGTTGCAGGGTGATATAGCTGCTGGCTTTTAGGATAATGTGGGTTCATTTGTGGCTTCTAGCGCTCTGGAACCAGTGAACAGGTACATATGTATGTAGCTGTATGAGAGTTATAGAACAAAATCCCACAGGACAGTAACTGCAACATGATTTAAAGTATTCATCACCAGCAAGCAACAACAAAAGTGTACAGTTTGTATGACTTCCAGTCACTGCCACACACCTTACTAGCTGTCATTAAAAAATCGAGGCTATTAATGCTGGTAGGCTAGAGTACTTAAAAAGTGAAACTAAATCCGTATTACACTACTGTCCCTGAGACAGTCTTGATGTCTTCTTAAATGTGACATGACATGAATGTAATTTGACATACAGCAATTATTCATACAGTCATTATGTTCATATTGTTTCTTTAAAAAGTGTTTTCAATGACTCTCACCTCACTTCAACTGCAATAATTGCTGTCCAGTTTTGCTTTGCCATTCCATTGCTTCTAAGGCTGCTTCTAAAGTGGTCAGTTTCCTATTAAGATTTTTAACAATATTCCAAAACAATCATGAATGAAACATTCACAATCAGTTTGTTGAGTCTCTTATTTTGAATCTGCAAAATCTGTAGACTGTGTTCACTTGCCTCCAAGGTTTTAAGAACCCCATTTGAGAAAAATATCTTCCTATGCTGCATTGTTCACAGTGTCCTGCAGGTAAACTTATACAGAGCACCATTTATCTCAAAATAAAAAGACCTGATTTCTCTGTAATATCCTCTTTAGACCCAGCCTTGTGCAACGTGATGTGCTAATGAACAAGATAAAAGCATTCTGCAGAACTGAAATTCTAAAAGGGTATGACCTAGTTATTGCTAGGTAATATATTTTATACATTACTGAGTCTTTATTCTATACAACAATAAATTACCAAGGTACCATTATTTTACCATTTCACTTAAATTGATCCATAATAGATATAAATACCTGTCAACTAAATTCCACTGACAAAAGCTTGGATTCTATTTTAGAAAATCTTTCTTAATTACTTTTTTTTTGTGGTGAGCGTATTTAATTGAACAGCAATACCAAAATGGCAGAGCAAAAACAGTTGTGATTTTGTTGAAACAATGTGTTCCCAACATAATGGGGTGGGGGTGTCAATTCTGAAAAAAAGTACAAAAGATACAGGTTCAAGTTCTACAATAGTACCAACTCAGATGTACGCATTAGATGTACGCCAGATAAACAAAAATTACCACAAAAACCACAAAAGGTGTTAGCTTGCCCAGATATCTGAAAAGTGTGAAACGCACAGACCATTTGTCTTACCAGGCTGTGCAAAACCATGCTGTTCCTGTGGCAGGTTTTCAGAGAAGCCCTCACCCCGACCCCTGTGATGTCATTTCACCAAAAACCACACCAGTGCTCGAGAACACTAACTATCACTATCACAGCTTTTCTTGACCCATGTACTTTCTGTAACATGGCACTGATGGGGTTTTTTTTCCCCAGGTATGGGCCTCCGATCTTCAACCACTGTCAACATTAACCAAATTTGAGTTCACTATTTTAAAAATGTTTTATAGATTTAACCACTGCATTTTTTATTTGTATAATGAGGTGCAGTCTGCGTGTTACCAGAAACCACGTGAGGGCACCTACGTACAGACACTGGATCTGTTCAATTCAGATTTTTTTTTTAGTAATCATTAACATTAGTATTCTATAAAACATCTACATAGAAATACTGTATATACTGTACACAGTGTAAAATGGAAGGAACATAATTTTTAGACATTTCCCCTGGATATTTGTATTTTGTGTCTGCTGATGAATCCACAGTGCATTAAAAATCAAACCCACCCACCTGCAGTTATCAGGGTAAATGAAACCTTAAAACTATGATGTTGCTTCTTCTACAGTACATGTCTGTGAGACTCCTGAAATTGTGCTCAGTAAGATATCAAGCTATTTTTTTTTCAAATTGTACTCAGAAAATAGATGACATGGCAATTTGAATATTTCCAACCACATAATGTGCATTGGTGCTTTTTTTAAAAAAAAGCCGCGTGCTGTTACATCAGCTTTTTATGTGCAAAACAGAAGCTTTAATTTTGTGTCTTTAACTTTTCACATTTTTTTTTCACTATGAATGAAAGTCATACATTGTCAGCTATGTTCATGTCAAATTGTAAACTTCAGAATACCAATTATAATATTTTGCTGCCAATATAAGTAATTATGTCCTGTTACAACTCCCAATTATTGTCTTGTAGCAACCTTTAGCTTTTCCATTTTTAATAAATGTTTTTAAATTAAATTTGAAAGCATTTGTTAAAACAATTTAAAGTCTTTACAAAACATACCATAATTTTGTTAGACAGCATGATCCAGTGTTTGGACCTTGATTCTAGTATTTCAAGAACTAAGTAATTATAAAGTTAACAATGACACCCAGTGCTTAATGTCACTTAAAATAAGTGTGAATTAACACTCTGTACCTTTCCTTCAGAAAAGTATAGTATTAAGCCAAAAAGCAAGTAATGTAAATTCACCACATTTCTGTGTGTAATAGGGGTTGTGATTCTAAGACTGAAAGAGATCTAGACCCCAGATATAGGACTGAAAAAAAAGGAAACAGCCCCATAAACAATTTGGTGTAAGAATATTCCCCCCTCCCACAGGTCATTATTCCATCAGTAATAATAAAATCTAAAATGGATATTGAATTGATTTTGGATTTGCCTGATTATCAGTTTGCTACCTTATTTTTTTAACAGGAGGAGCTGAAAGTAATTTGTGGTTCTCTAGAGAAGAGAATGAACTGAAGCTCTGCAGATCACAGCTTGTCAGACTTCCTGGTGGCTGAGTGCACATGAAGTACGGACTGTTCCCACATCTTTATTTTCATCAGAAATACAGAAAATATACAATATAATTCCAACATAATATACAGCATACTTCTTTAATTCAACAACCTGCCTTTGCCCATTTTCTTGAGCAATAAAACAGAAGAAACAAGGCATAAGGTAAGTAAGAATTTTTATACAGATATTATCTAACAATTTGTTGAATGTAAACAAAACTAAATACAAATATATATCAAATATACCAAACAATGGTGAAAAGCTAGATAAGTTGATTTCTTATGGAATATGTACACAACTCCCAAAAAAAATAACACGCAATATCTAATACATTATAATAATTTGTACCCCCCCAATAATCATCTTTGTTTGAATTAAATACAGGGTTATTTGGTTTATAAACATTTGAGACATTTTAAAAACTTACAAACAGTCTCATATCATACTTTTTTTCTTTGTGACAGTTGCTTCTTTTGAATGTGCAACTTTCTGTTTTTTTCGTAGTTTTTTTCTTTCCATGTTACCATCTATTTTTCAATTCCCTCTCTCTTTAAAAAATATCTCTATATTATATCTTACAGTCTGCACTTCAATGGGCTGTAATGCAGAATACTGTAATTGCACAACTTGAATAAATACAAACTTTCCAGTTATAAGTGTTTTGTGGGGCCAATGACTTTTGTGCAATGGGGAGCTATGTGAGTATTTATACAGTAACGACGTCAGAAAATTGAGTTACATCTACACAAATATGGCACTCTAGGACTCTCAATATGTTGTTGTTTTTAGTCAACATTATAAACTCTTTGGTGATGGTTGGGTGGAATATGAAATACTATTATTGCTTTTCACTTGGGGTTTTGAAAGGACACCACACTGCCAGTTTTAGTAACACCTTCCAGTTGTATATGTAAAACTGCATATAATCTGGATCTTTGCACATTTTTCTAAATCTAGCCACTGTAGCACATGTAGCAAATTAAAGAGAAGTGTACAAAAAAGCCTCTGGGGAGGAGCCAATTTCTGTGAGCAGAGATGAAAATGTAGTAGTAAAGAATGAAACTTCAAAAGAGAATTATGTTAATCCCATTACAGACCGTACAGTACATCAAACACTAAATCACAAATGAAGTCTTGCCATGCACTATACAAGACTAGTAGGGAATTCTTTGGAACAACTTCCTGTTGATTCTTAGTTTCCTGGACTTTTCAAAAGTCAATTCTGATTGACCTGCATCACAGGTAGAGATTTAAATTAACCGTATCCAGCTGCTTTCTTTCTGGTTCTTTTCAATGCAGATGTGTATGAGACATTCATTTTGTGACTGTGTCTTTTTTAATGAGAAGTAATTTGGATCACTGGGTTACATACTGCGTGCACATATAACTACAAGTCAAATAAAATCACAGAAGTCAAATGTAATTTGGAAGAGCGGGTATGTTAAATCGGAAAATAAAAACTAGCCAACATCTGGGAATTTCTATGAGGATGCCTACTGTACAATCTCTGCTAACTAATAGCACCTCCATTAGAAAGACAAAAACAAAAAGTGGATGCAATATGCAGCCTTCAGACTGCTCACATCTTACACAGGCTACACCATTAGCTAATTCTAGCAAGCTAAAAATAAATATGTAACAAACTAGACCTCTGTTTTGAACAATATTTAAACTGTGTAAGTACCTTATGTGAATAAACACTGTGGAAAACACCTAACACACTACTCTTGTTTCTTAATACCAATTGATATTTTAAACACAATTATGGATGTACAGAAGAGGTGCTTTCTTGAACATTTTTTTCTGTTCACGTAAAAAGCAATACTTACTCATTATGTCATTGCTCTCACTTAATTTATAGAGGGAATATTCATTTTCAGGCCAATCTTTAACTATCCCAGTTGCTCTTTATTTCCCTGTTTTGTCATGTGATGAATAACACGCCTTCAAAGTGAATATGCCATTATTTAATGAAATACTTTAAGTGATGTGCAGTAAGTACAGCCAAATTACTGTGTGGAAAAAAATGCTTTTAAAGTACATTTTTTAGGTAGACATTTAATACATTATCGGAGGTTATCTATCATCACCAGATATCCAGATATGTATATAGAAACCGGTTAACAATACTACTTTTAGAATTAAAAGTTGATAGGATATAAGGAGACATTATGAATATTTTAAATTTAGTATTTCTACATTTATTATTGGCAAACACAATCTAATTAAAAAAATAATATCATTATTTTATTGGCAATAATCACCACATTTAAGTTAGTCATTTTTTAGATTTTCACCCTATGTATTACCTACTATATTATAGACTCAACTCTTTTAGTAACCCGATATTGTGCATTAAGGCAAGTCGGTGATATAATCGCAAACAAGCAGAGGTTGTAACTGCTTCTTAAAATACAATACACAATAAGTTTCTTATATTTATTGTCACCAGACAGTGACATTGTACATGTTTGTCTTCAATGAGAATAAGGACCATTTAGAGGGAACAATTTTTTTTAATGGTTTCTCAGGAAGTTAGCATTTTTACTGATAACCCAGATCCACCTCTTTATGTGACATCAGACTGGTCATTTCCTTCATTTTGCTTTTGTAATTTAACATCTCAATACAACATTGATAAAAAGTACGGAATTCTTCTCCAAAATCAAAATGCTACTTAGAGGCTGGAATGAGCTGAGCTAACAGTGGTCTCTTTGTGAAAAAGAAAACAGAGGATTTCCCTACAAAATCACCTGTGAGCTTTGCTGGCATAGAGGGAACACCTGCTCCACCACAGAACAGAACTGAAACACTGGTTTAAATTGAGGCATAGTAATTATTTCCACTATATTTTCTTCAGACATGGCCGGAAGTTGTATCTGTATTTCAGGTCGGTTTGGGCCGATGTCTTGTTTCTTATAGCATACTCCAGGCCCCTGTTGCCCCCAGATGAATGTAACCAGAATTATATAATTGGCAGAGAAGCTCCAGTTCTCAGGTGCACACAGAGGCAGAGTGAGGAGAAGTGAAACAAGTCAAAGGAGCTCCTTAATTGGAGTATAAACAGCTTTATGTAGAAAGAATTTCAGATTTCTTTTTAGAGTCAAATCAGGGCAGCATGGAGGCAGGGCGATTAGTGCTGCTGCCTTACAGGTCCAGGGTCCTAGGTTTAGTAGTGCCTTTAGACACCTGGTTGTGTGGTGTGTGCGAGCTCTTTTTTTTCAATGTTAAGGTAGGTTTGCTCCGGGTGCTCGTCTTTTTTTTCAATGTTAAGCATGATAAGAATCAAGAAAAAAAGCACAGTAAGCGCTTCTATGAAAGTCCCACAATGACCCACTTATCAAGTGAAAAATGCCTTCCTGCTGTCGGTATGTTGCGGCAACACCTCTTGGGAACTTGCTAGCACCAGAGTCTCTTGCGCAATAATTTTAAGTTTTGTGTAGAGTACACAAGCAAGTGTAGAGTAAACATGCACAACCATAATACAGCAAACTAATTTACAGGAGATCCAAGTAAGAGTGTCTTTGGTGGAGGGGAGTCCCCATTACCTGTAAAGCGCTTTGAGCGGAGTGTCCAGAAAAGCGCTATATAAGTGTAAGCAATTATTAATTATTATTATTATTATTATTATTATTTTCAAACACTACAGTAGAACTCTACGGTAGTGATTGACAACTTGATTGCATGGCAATACAAGGATAAAATAATCAGACCTCATTTGATTTCCTTCCTGGTGACATAGAAGGACAGCACTGTCTTCATACTCATTTGTTCTCATCTGTGTGATACAAAATACTGACAGTTATGAGGTGGATACCCTACTCTCCAGGCTCATCTCCCACAGAACATTTATAAAATGATCCAGCACAACGCGTGGAATCTAGGGCTCAGATACCAGTGAACAGGCACAAGCCTATCCAGACTCTGCGAGAGGAATGGGAACTAATTCAAGCAATCTGGATTGCTTCTAATGACTAAGATGAATTAGCATAATGGACACTGCATTGAACAGCTTTTAGGAAAACCAAAAATCCAGCCAATAGTGTTGATAAACATATGTATAGGTTTTCATATGAATTTTCAGATGAACTATTTAAAGCCAAACCACTATGTTATACAGGTTTTCCAAATACAAGCTGATCATGAAAAAACAGAAGAGCACGTCACAGCTAGTACATACAGTACAGATCTCCATTTTTTTAAAAGGATTTAGTTATTTTGCACTGTTTACAACAACTGAACCACACATGGAACGTTGTCTAGTCCTTGCAGATGTTGTATAAGCTACATTGCATTGTAGCTGTCAGAGGACAAAAACTGATTTATCACATGGATGAACTTCAGATGAGACAATCTGGGCAAAGTATCAATAAAAAATCTACAGGATTTGCTTTTTTTTTGCTATAATAGGGATTATGGGTGTTTTGAGAAAACTATTACAATGGCTTATAATTCAAAAGCAACAATCCTCTTAAGAACAATTGCTTTGTCATAGTTTTTCCATATTTTATTCATGTGTTTGTTATGTAAATTGCCGAATAGGATTCCAAAATGATTGTTTTTTGTAAGAGAGTCAAGATATTAAATAATACAGAATAAGTTTTCATCATAAAATATAGCTTTACTAAAATTACTTTAAAGCCTCTTTTAATGTCATCAGCAAAGGAAATGCAGTATAAGAGCAACTCAGCATTGGCACATTAAGAGCACTGATGCAAACATACTTCTTCAAACTTCAACCATACTACAACAAAGCTTTTGGTTTGTCTTGTCAAGTTAATTTCTGGTCATCATTTCATTCTTGTTGATTGATTTCCTTCACATAAGGCTGCTTTGGTCTTTTTAATAAACGTGCTGTAGTTCACATGGTCTTGAATTGTTTTTACTTTTTACAGTTTTAAGAAAATAATCTTTAAGGCATTTGTGAAGACAGGACAATCAATATTCTACATGTTTAGCTCATATAAAAGTTCCTTAGAAAGAATAATACTTTTATGGGGTTTTAGTTTCCTTTTTTAAAAATATCCAAAGGTAGCCAACAGATTACAGTTGTTTCACACTCATAAAGATTAAGCTGAGATGTGATTGAGATCTCAAGTAAAGCTGTAATTCTTAACTGATCCTTTGTTAGAGTCATTAGATACCTGAAAAGTTTTGCATAC